ATTATAAGACTTTTTATTTCTTTTCAGATTGGAAAAGATGCCTATGATTACAATTGAAATAATCTCCGCTAGACAACAGTTTAGAAAAATGGAATTAGTAACAAAAGGTGAGTTTTTCTTACTTTATATCATAACTCACTTGCGTGTTCTTTTCGTGAGGTTTATAACATGTAAGAATAAGAAAATTATTTTGTTTCTACCCGGTAAGAAATTACCTTTGTTAACGACACGATATTTTTGCTTTATTTTTCCTTGAATAAGACTCAAAGGAACCGCTTGGTAATTAACGATTTACGAGTTAGCTTTCAAGCTTATTTATTCACCTTAAATTCTCAACTTTTAGCTCTCTAAAGGACGCGTTAGACGAAACTTCAAAAGCGGAACCTAAAGTGTGCACAAAAAAAGAATTTCAAAAAAGAATTTGCCACAAAAGTGGCAACACTTAGCATGTTGCACGCATAATCTATTGTTTTTTGAACAAAGTATTCGGTGTATTATTAATTAGGTCAATTTACGTTAGGTTCTGCGTGATACTGGTACCTGTAATGGTACAGTATTAAGAAAATACCGATTTCCATAAAAATTTACAAGAGTAATTCCATATAATTGCGAGTTTGATGTAGGTGTTGAGGATTTTGTACATGATCAAATACCTACATTCTTAAATAAGTTTGATTTTGATTTTTTTTTAATTTTGAGTTAAATATTTAGAGTTAAATAAAAAAAAAAGTGAGAAAGCTCTTCATCTGCTTGAATTAATAATGAAACATTTAGAAGAATTTTTGTTAAGTTAATTTTAGTGTATTTGTACCTCATTGTTCTATCACTAAGCTAGGAGAGCCGGGTTCTATTCCCGGCGAGAACGTAACTACAGCAACAACTTTTCTTCATTAATTTGATGTTATCATTTATTGATTTATTTATTTATTATAACTAAATAGATGTATAGTATGCAGTGATTTCGTATTTTTTGTTATAATAATTGTTTTACAGCCTCTTTTTGACTTATCTAGTACATATATTATTTAAATAGATACCTTTTTATTCATAAATATTGTGTTGCAACACAAATTTAAGCATAATGCATACATAGAATATATATGTAATTTAATATAGTAACTTTTCTGTAATAATAACAAGTGCTGGTGCATTTGTTTTTGCGTAACGTATTTGTGTTGGTAATAGGTACAAAATGAAAATTGTTCTGACGTCACAGCAATCTTAAACTTTTCAAGATATACCTACGACAAACACGCAGTAATTGTGTGTAAAATTGATTAAAACTTTAACGGTTATTAGAATAAAAAATTGACGTAAAGACGTAGTCACAGTAGATAGCGAGAGGTGCACAGAATGTAGAATGAATAATATGTTATGTAGAAAAATATTTAACAATTAATTATACATATATAAAATACAGACATATAGATATAAGAACACTTATTAAAATAGTGTATAGGTATTATTATGCATACAGGGTGATTGAGGCAAATTAGTAGTTTATTAAAATAGTTGTACATCACCCTAGATGCCTATAATTAAAAGAATGTTCGTCATTGTTTTATGCGTTTTAATGTCAATAAAGCTAAACGCTTCTGTATTTGTTTATTTCTAAATCAAAGTAGATGTTTATTCAATACCAATAATAGCAAAAAGTTTAGGTGGGTATAACAGGTAATCCCCGAAATTGTTTTTAATATGCCGTGGAAAAGTCCGTCAACGTAAATTATAACCAAAACCTTTTTATATTTCAACAACCTGAATCGTTTACATATTAATTAGTACATAACTAAAATGATATACTTTGTACCTACGAACATACGGGGTGTGCCAATTAAATAACGAAACATTTTGATTGGTTTTTCTCTATTTTTGTTCTGAAAATGTTAAATAAAAATCTGCAGACTGTTTGCCTCCTCCCTACAGTCCAGGCGTAGCGCTCAAGTGACTTTTTTGATTAAATCTCAATTTAAATAGTTCGGTTGTTATGTGTCACACCTCGTACAATTTAATGGTTAAAATGAGATAAATAAAAGAAGATCTATCATTTTGAGACAGAATTAGAAGACTACTAAAAACTGAATTGTGCCTATTGCTATTTCCAATGCATAAATTATCGTAATTTTTCATACTGGTCTTACTGATACATGTTTTTTATTGAGAAAAAGAGACAAATAAACAGTAGGTCATAAAAAATAAAAGCAATGTCGTAAATAATTTGCGCAAAGCAGCCTGGTCGTAATTCTAAATATATACGTAATTGTATAATTACCTTGACATTTTTGATTTGTTACAGTTTTTATAAATTCTGTTACAAGAACACTTTCTTGTTTATTATTTAATAATTTCAAAACAAAAATATGGAATATTTTAAACAAGTGCTATACCACCAATAGATATATTCATAGGTTTCCAATTAGCAAAATAAGTAACGAATTTTAAGTAATACTAACCACAGTATTTATTTGGCACATTTATTAGGTATATCTATATAAATTTAATAATAAAATAANNTTAATAATTAAATAAATAAAAAATATAAAAATTCAATTCAAAAGTATATTGTGCTACCTAGCTTGCTATTATACAGGTGGTTCGTCACCCTATTTTCTTTTTATTTGCATAGGCCCCATCGTAAATACTGTTTAAATTTATTGTAACAATTATACCTTCTAGTTTCTAATAAGTTACCAGACGATTCGTTTTTAGCTTCTTTATAAGTCCATCAAGAATAATTGACGTTATTCATTAAATTATTGTTATCTACGAGAAATTCTTTGAAATACTTAAAAAAATACAATTAGCCAACAAAGTTAAAAATTAAACACTTCAGATAACAGCAATTGCAAAAACGCGTTACAGATATCTAGAACATGCCTCTTCAAAATATTATCTGCTAAAACGTTTTTATTTATTTAATTATATACTTATATATTCGATAGGTATACACTTGCCTTGCCTATTTATTAATAAATATTGGATAATTATCTATATTTCTTTTTTGTTTTTTTTCTTTATAGCCATTTGAAACCACATCATTAAAAAATATAGTGCACCTAGTGCTAAGAGCCACGCAATCAATCCCTCGTGTGAGACGAACTGTATATACATATATTCAACTTGATTGTGTACAGTAAGTCACAAAAGCAATGTGCGTATTTTCGTTCGTGTCAGAGTTGTGGCCGTATGTTTTTTTTTTAAATATTTCTTACGTTAATTATGCCTATAAAGTTTTTTCTGTTACCTTACCAATAATAGTCGACAATGTTGTATGTACAATGTTGGTATGAACAAACGTATTTGCTTCGTGAGTGCTTTCGACTATTGTATGGTTGTGTAGTGTGTTGTTGGGGTAGCAGTATGGCATTATTTTACCATGAGAACACGTATCGACCTCTTTGAAGTCGACCGCTACAAAAATAATGCCAAGTACTGTAACCACCAGGCCGAATAGAACCACCCCAAGGGCTGGAAGTTTTTTCCTCGATAGAATGTGCCCTTCGTCGAGTTTTAAATAACACATTGCTGGAAGGACGTAGGCCAATGGTATTGCTGCCAGAAGACCCTAGAAATATTACTTACCTTTAATATGATGCTGCAGGAAAATAATAATAAAAATTGTTTTTGTTTTTCTTTTTTTTAATCTAAATCGATACGTATTCTATTACAATCCTGCCACATCGGACTTTTGTCTAAAAAATATGTAGGAATATGATTACATCATCAGATGAAATGTGAGAATTTAATTAAAATCCTAAATCACACAGATAAAATTCCTACAACTGTGCGCGGTATTTGTGTAATATCTGAATCTGTATACCGTTTTTCCTTTAAATTGTTTTACGGTAAACAAGCATTTATAGATCGTTTTTTTTTTTAATCTTACAATCAGTAACTTTCTTGTTAAAATGTGTATTATTAATTACAAGCAATTTATGTTATTCAGGTACTTAAAATTGATTAATATAGTTCGAAACGGTTTTTCCGCGTTTTTAACTTTCCTGATGTACGATTAGATAAAACTAAAGTATGCAAAATCGAATTAGATTATAAAGTTTAATATATTTATTATTTTTAGTTATGTAAGCCTATAATTTACATAAAAATTATCCCATGGTAATTAGAGGCATCCATGTACCATCAGGCTTAGTATTTGTTAAGCAATCGGGGACCTGATGGCCATAGAATTGGGGGATGTATATACATATGTATGTGTAATTGCCCATAAAATGATAATTTCAAGTTTATCACGATAATTAAATAATTGATACTTACATTAGCACTTTAAAATGTTTAAAAATAGACAACAGCCTGGTACTTGGAATTTTAAATTAATTAATTTTGTGTTAACACCACGAGCTCATAAAAAAAATAGTTTTTATTGTATTCTATATTTATAGACATTTCTAATTTAAACTTTTACCTATAGTGGGTTGAATTGATTCCTTTTATTCTCTAACATCAGGTCTTTTGGCCATTGATATTGGCCATAGAGGTAGATCTTTAAAAAAACGATTTCTCGAACATCATATAATTTAAATATTAATTATTTCAGTCATAACTTAATAAGGATTACAGAAGGTTATTCATTACTTATTTTACTTGTATTTTTCTTTGAAGACCCAATACTGAATATTTAGTTTAATCTTCATTGATAAATATTTGTAATAACGAAGATTAGCAGAGAGCATCCAGGTTGTATTTTGTTATCTGCCGGCAGATCAAACCTTGTCAAGTCCGATAGGATTTGTTTTAATTAAAATCGAACAGGTGATTTATTCGAATCCGTCAGTCACGGTTAGGTAAAGTGACCGTGGGGAAACAGAATGTGTTGTGGAAGTATTTAAATAACATATGTAATTATTACCGCAAAAGTTGGACAAAATTATCCCTTATCATGAATAATATACCTACTAGGTACTTTACCCACATCAAAAGTATACATATGATTAGATTCTTTGTAGAATTCTAATCAATTTATCCCTTTGCAGTTTTTTGATCTGATATTCCGTTACCGAGTAATTAAGAATTAAAGTTACTGCACCCGACCAATCATAGCGCGCTGTCTGTGCTGCAAGCGGAAAGGGTAGCTACTTGCAGCTTGCAGCATAGTAGACTTACTGCGATTGGTTACTTATTCTAATTTTTGATTGTTTATTACTCAATAATGAGACGTCGGATCGAAAAATTGTAAAGGAAAATATGTTTTGCAATTAATCAAAGAATTTCTTTATGATGTTTTTTCTTTGGGAATATCATTATTGGCTCCAGCAGCCACAATTTTTAAAAAGCGAAACAAACGATTTTATTCTTTTTGAACTGTTGCGAATGATGAGGATAACGTGGATAGAAAAGGTTAGAAATGAAGAGGTAGGTATTAGAAAGAATAGGAGAACAGAGAGTCAATAAGAAATAGGCGAGATAGGTTAGTAGGGCACCTTCTCAGGCATGAAGGTCTAGTCAGAGACTTATTATAGGCAGAAACAGGAGTTAGGAGGGGTAGAGGTAGACCTAGATTAGATTACTTTTCGCAGATTGTTAAGGATGTGGGTTGTTCTAGTTTTGGGGAAATTAATTAAAAAAATTAGCTCAGGATAGGAAACAGTGGAGGTGCGTGTCCAACCAGTCTTAGGGCTGACAACCTTATGATGATGATGAACTGTTGCTGCCTTGATTCGGGCCTAAAGGCTTAGGTCGACGTGGCAGCATCAGTTCAAAAAGAATAATATCATTTATTTCGCTTTTCAATCTGCTGAATCAGGACATCAAAGGCGCAAAAGGCTTTACCGGTTTATTCTTTTTGGTTTGTTATCTTTTCTATGATGAATCACTATGTATATAATGTGTTCTGATTACTCACATTCAATTCCAAGACGATTCCCAAGCAGTCTGTGGCAATTGACAAAAGGTACGTAAGGGCAATGATGGTAATTGTGATTCCGTAATGGATTTTGTCCGAAGTTAGGGCTTCGGAGTCTTTTCTCAAAAACGAATATTCTATGACATCTCGGACAACAAAACATTCGATTGGATACGTCAATAAAATGGTCACGCTGAACAACAGACGACTGAAGTTCATAAGGTCATCGTCCCAGCAATAATTTTCCAATAAATCACCTAAAAATATATGCAAATGAAGTTACGTGATTTATTATTATTTACAATTACAATCGCCTAGTTTCATAATAAATATTTTCTGGCATTCGTCGGTTATTAAGAAGGAAATTAACATTTTAATGATAAGTAATGCTAGGACATGAATTTTCTTACAGATATGGTAATATTTTTTATGGTAATAATTTAGTGGTTTTTCTCTTTTTACTTATTGATAAACAAATAAATGCACTTAGGTCACATATCGTAAATGGTGATATGTAATTTTATAGTTTTACGCAGGTAATTTTGTGGGCACCTTTATTGTTCGGTTTTTGTGCCCTTGACTTTGAAATGTTCTTGTATTTTTCCGCTAAAATCAGTACCTACATCAGCAGTTAATGTGTGTAATAAAATTTAAAAATGCCTACTGCTCATTCAGTTTAAAGCAAATTTCGTTAATGGACTGATTCATAAAGATAAAAAATACGTAATCGATATTTTAAAAGTTACCATTGGTAAGTTGGGATGAAATAAAAAGTTACAAAACACAATTTTTGGTAAATGTCTAGATGATGGCCCCCACCCCCTTCGAGAGGTCACTCCCACCACTGTACCATAAAAAGTTCGTGGCGGTCTCACCCCCATAAGAAGTTATGGTGGTTAGATGGGGGTGGGGGTTTGGGGGATCAAAAGAGGGTAGGGGTGATCGAAAGAGGGTGGTCACCTGAGTACAACCCCATAAAAATTTTGCGGCGGTCTCACCCCCATAAAAAGTTATGGGGGTTGAAAGTTGATTATTTTGACAATTTTCATACACTATAATTCAAATAAAATTCAATAAAAAAATTATTTTCAAGCGGGTGGAGGTGGGGGATCGAAAGAGGGTGGTCACTTGAACAAAACCCGATAACCTAACCTAACCTAACCTACCCTATTGATAAAGATATTTAAATAATGTTTTATATAACTTTCTCAATATTTTTATGTATTTTTCATTAGTTTTACCCTTGAATATTGTTTAAGAATGACTATATAAATATTTACATGCCTACAAATGTATAAAAATTGGCATATTTATTCACTTTGAACCCTCATAACTTTTTATGGGGGTGAGACCGCCACGAATTTTTTATGGTACAGTGGTGGGGGAGACCTCCTCTTCCGAAGGGTTGGGGGCAATCATCTAGACCTCTACCCAATTTTTAAAAATGGAAAATATACCTATGTATACTTTAAAATTTTACTTCTACGAAAAAAGTGTTTTCGTACTAACCCTGCGTACTGGTTGTAAATGTGGCATAACCAGCGATGCCGAACAAAATGGTAACCAAGAAGCTTGTGAAAATAGACGCGTGGGTAACAATCTTCCATTTCTCTTCTGATGCTTCTTTAATTGAACCATAAATTAGAAAAGTATTGTGATGACACATGAACGCTAAAATTGGAAAGACACTAGGTAATAAACACTTCATCTTTTACGTTTCGTTTTTTCTTTTATTTACCAAAGGACATTATCCCTATAGCTGGAATTATATCGGCATTCATAAAACTCCATGCATGGTCTGGCATTGTTCTAAAAAACCAAATTAGTTATTACCACCAATATCTTTTGCCTTCCTTTTTGTTGTTGGTGCAATAACTGAATATTTTTCATATCAACGAAATGATCGTTGTCTATGTTCTACAATTCTGTTTATGCTGCTTCGACCACACTGGCCGATATACCCTAGACAAAAATTTTCAGTCTCTTTCCAGTCTCTCAGAGTCTTTCAGCGTCTCTGAGAGCGTCTCTCACAGTCTTTCACAGTCTCTCAGTTATTGCCTAGGTGTTTTTATGGATCTTTCACAGTCTCTGTATGAGAGACTCGAACGATAAAATTGTTAATTCAGAGATTCGAGTCTCTCACAGAGAGACTGAATGAATAAAACTGAAAAATTGAGAGACTCGGGTCTCTCGAAGAAAGACTGGGATCTCTGAAATATGTTGAACTTTGAAAATTTTAACCATGTTTATCGAAACACCACTTATTGAGCGACTCGAGTCTCTCGTTGAGAGATGCTAAACAGTTTTTCTGACAGTCTCTCGACAGTCTCTCTGAGCGACACCAGAGAGACTCAATGAGAGACGGAGACTCGAGTTTCGCTTTCAGAGACTCTGAGAGACTGAACATTCTTATGTCGGGTAGTTCAGTGAAATATGTTCCTTTAACTGTCAACATTTTTTTATTAGAGCAGAATATCCCCCGAAAATTCTAAACTGCATTTATTAGACTTTAATTACTTGAAAAGATAACTGAAGGTATTAGTCGTATTTTTCAGTTTCCTACCCCATTTCATGTCTTTTACATATTCTAACATCCTTCCTCAACCAGAGTATTAACATCCCTTACTTTCATTTTCCCACTGTAAACCTTGCAACAACATAAACATGTTTTCCTAACTATAATATGCTTATTCATGCAGCAAATTTTCAAGAAAATCTTACATTTTGCATCCCCTTTTGGTACTTACAGTTTTGCTTGCATTGATCCCATTCGAATGAAAATTGATAGAAGTATAAATGCTATACACACGAGGCTTAAGAACGAAATATTTGCTAATTTTGCTATATTTCTATATAGGCATAAGGGTACCGTTACGAATAGGGTGCATACTAATACAATTATCTGTCTTTTGGCAAATAAGGAGTCATGACTCATTCCAAAAAGTCGTATAGCTACTTTAGTAACCGTATCACCAACAACAACGTTGTACGAGACCATTGCTGCAAATTTGAGTGTTAAGGCAGTCGTTTTATTAGTGCACCAATAAATTACCGATCACCTACCGATGAAAGGATAAATAAACTGCATCAGTCCAAGTAATACATGACCAGGTTTGCCAAAGGCAGATTCCATAATCCCTTGGTAAGTAAATCTACCAGAAATGTGACCACTTCTTACCATTAAAATCAAGGAATAGTCAGTGACATATGCCACAAGGAGAAGGAGCAAAACCCCAAATCCAAAACCAGACTCATGAAGTGCATAAGGGATTCCTGATTATTATGGAATAAAACAAAACAATTATTCAACCCTTACTTTTGTTATTTTCCGTTTGAATTTCAATTTGTTTGACTGTTTTAAATTAACATTACGTTTAATGGGCCAGGTACCCTGTATGGATTCAGCACCCGGCTGATCCGGTACTCTTTTTTAGAATTCTGTCGGGTACCGGATATGAGTAACTTTGCCAGACAAAAAAAAAGTAAACACCAGAAGTAATGGTTCAATAAGTATAACACAAACCTGTTAAATAGGACAAGATGTTAAATATACTTAAAAATGTAAGGAAGAGTTACAGAGATAGGAGTGATACTTAGTTTGTATAAAGAGAAACAGGCAGTTACAAAGCTGGGGTTGCAACGTAGAGAAGTAATAATTAAGAAGGGAGTCAGGCAGGGATGCACATTGTCACTGCGACTTTTTAGTCTACACATCGAAGACACGATCGACATCGTTAAAGACAGTACAACTGTAGGGATAGATATACAGGGGAAAATGATTAGTATACTTAGATTTGCAGATAATATAGCAGTATCTAGCAAAGAAGAGTTAGAGATGGCTTTAAATAAAATGGAAGCGATATTGACAAAACAGTATTGTACAAAAATAAATAAAACAAAAACAAAAATACTGGTATGCAAGGAAAGAAAAAGTAGGGAAGGACGAACGTAAAGATAGGAGACGAAATATTAGAAGAAGTGAAAGATTTTAGGTATCTAGGAAGTCAAATAAGTCACGACGGAAGGAGTAGTAGGGATATAAAGCAGAGGATAACGCAGGGTCGAGTCGCCTTCAATAAAAAGAAGTCATTTCAATGCTCGTGAACGATTAATATAAGAAAAGAAAAAATTAGAAGCGTTCGAAATGTGACGAATTAGGAGGATACCATGGATAGAGAAGGTTAGAAATGAAGAGGTATGAAGGGAACTCAGTGGAAGTCGATAAGAAATAGTCTAGATAGATAGGTAGGACACCTCAGGCATGAACGTTTAGCTAGGGACATATTAGAGGCAGAAGTTAAGAGTAGTAGGGGTAGACCTAGATTAAATTACTGTTCGCAAATAGTTAAAGATGAGGGATGTTCTAGTTTTAGGAAAAAGACTAGGTCAGGATTTGACGGACTGGAGGTGCGTGTCCAACCAGTCTTAAGACTGACGACCTTGTGATGATGATCACAAACATGCTTCACGAAAATTAGCGATTAAGATTTGCATTGAGATAGATCGTTTGCCCTAGTTTGAATTATTTATTGATTATCATACTAAATTATTTGTTATTTCGATATGGTTCTTGTGTTTGCTTTTTCTGGTAAACAGTATAGGCGAACAGTTACAATTTCTGTCGCTTGTTGGTATAACGATAACTTATTCGTATGATTTTGTCACCTTGGAGACTTTAGTGTTTATAAACATAAGCTTATTTCTTCGATGGTCTGAATTCAACGTCTTGTTGAAAATCCGCCAGCCGAGAATTAAAATTTTATTGGTTTCATTTAATGTAGTTTGGAACATTGCGTTGGAAATAAGGGTGGACCGCCAGAATGAAGACATGAACCACTAACCGTAGTAGTTTTTTCGAGTACCCAGTCATCGCCGTTTTTCCGAAATGAAAATTAAAACCTTTTTCTGTACAATTATTAAACAAACAATTTCTATACCGATGTTCTTTAATTAATTGGATGAATGAAAATTACATGCATATTTTACTTACTAAATAACAACACCTTTTAAAAAAAAAATAAAGCTAAAACTTGATGATTTTTAAGCACTGTCGAGGTATCGGATTAATAAGGGAATGGGGGTTACTAAAACGTGTATTAATTATGACAGAGGCACAATGAGCCTAAAAAATGCGTAAATTATGAATTTTGGACTGCTCATTTTCGGTTTCTTAATAATCTGCTAATGAGAAATACTTAATAAGTCATCTCTAATTATAGGAATAATAAAGGAATACCTTGAATTTTTTGTTTTTAATCTTTTCTTCAATATTAAAACCCACAGCGAGATTTTATTTTCTTTTATTTTTATTTTATCCTATTCCATTAAACGTAACAATGATAATGTATAAGCTGAAATTTATAATAACTGTTGTGGACGGTTAATCTTGAACTGTTTTAATGTCTAAATTAAGACATTTTTAAAAATATACTTCATATTAGAAGAATGTGATAAAAATTATTGAAAATTTTGGTGGTGGAGGCGCCGGGACAATTTTAAAATAAAGGCTATAAGTAAGCTATAATTTTAAATTGACTGAAACAGATTAATAAATTTTCAACTTTAAATTATATTTTCCATGTAAGCACAGCTAATTATGCATTTTAATTTAATTAGACTACAATATGTATCCATATATCTAATAGATGGACAACCCAACATACAGCAAATATTACACCCTTAATAATGTATCTATGAAGAAAGTTAGAAAATGTTTAATATCAATTATTAAAGTTGCAAATTTTATACCGTTTTCGACATAAATTATGGTTTTTTATGAATTAATTATTTTGCATTTTCACTGTTTTTAATCTCTTTTTCTATGAAAACTGTATTGTAGGGGAAATAAAAAAATAAAATCGAAGGTCGACGTGGAATATCCCAGATTTTGTTCTGACTTTTCAAGAAACACTATTTCTTTTAGTACAATCGAAATATACAAAATTTAAACAAAAATCATCCAATTTTCAAATAATGGCAGCATTTTATTAATTTAATATTAATTAAACGTACAAAAAAGATTAGAAAATTTGTAATCCTTGATTATTCTCCCGATTTATCAAAGGTACTAACACAATGTATTGATTTTTTGTACGAGTTTGTTCGCATGTACCTGAGGATTAATTAATTTTTTTTATTACTTAAAGATCGTTCTCATCCTAAGTCTGAGGAAGGCGAATGAAAACGTTATGTAGTACCGGTCTAAATGCAAATGCAACATCATCTACACCCTCTCTAAATTAATATGTGCACCTACCCTTAATAAAAACTTCAAATTGTGGTACTTACCTATGACACCACTTCCAATTATAGAATTTATAAAATTGAAACTGGCCAAAGGTAAACTGGTCCTTTTTTCATTTTCTTCTTCCTATAAACGAACAGATATTTACGTTTTGAACCCAATCACTTTTTATTTGTAATTATTTAAATATAGCAAACAAAGTGTGTAAGTATAAGAGGTTTGTGTCATAATTAGTAAATAAAAAACAGATATATTCGTAATAATGCCTATGAATGGTTTTTAATCAATTAAATAACAAACAAAGCTGCATGGCCATTCCATCATGTATCAAATGAATGAATTTAATAAATATAATAATAAAAGATACATGCTTTCGAGCAACATATCAAGTAAATGGGCAAACAGCACCATTTTTTAAAATCTACTTACTTCCATTATTTGTTTCATATCATCAAAAGCATTTTCGTTTGAATCTATACTGCTACCCTAAAATATATAAACGCTAGGTATAGTAAAAGTAATTTTGAAATTGAAAAAATCCTGAGATGCATTTCTCATCGCAAGCAGAAAATATCTCGTTGATTGTATAATGTGTACTGTAGTGTTTATCTTATAAAAATAAATGGAAAACGTAGAAATGCTTAAATTTTAATTTGTCCTACCTGGTCTTCAGAAAAAGTCCTTCGCGAATCTAAAATAAAGCTTTTCTCGTTGTACCTTGGAATTGTCGTAGACATTTTAAATCAATATTATATCCATGAAATAATTTATTATATAGTTTTTATATCTACTTATATTGTTTTAAGTAAAATCACTTTGGAACGTTTTTTTTTTATTACAATTAAAAACGTTACTTTTGTTTAAATATCACTTTATCCGAATTAAGCGGACGGAAGAACGAATTTTATTGTCTTCGTTTTTGTAAGATCAGATTTTTTATACAACTTTAGTATCGATTTGAAGTTAAAATCATGCGCTAACTGAGAAGTTCTTATTGAAAAACTGATGTAGAAGAAGCCTAAATTGGTAAATAAGGAAAATGAGGTTGTTTATATCTTCATAAGCAAAGTCTAAACAGACTTTAACTAGAATTGTCTGGTTTTTTAAATTGATACAGAGGCAGAAATGCTGATATGATATCAATCGTGGAAAAAACCAAAATGCGTCCCTGATATATTATGGAAGTTAAATTTTATGTACACTGATGCTAGAAGTATTGACTTGTATGGATGATTGTTTTGGTCTTGTCAGGTCTTGCTTCGGTGACATCTAGTTTTCGGACGTTAGTGAAGTCGATTATTAAAAAACTGTTATGTCTGAGGCTAATGCTGAAAATAATAGGGAAAGTAATCATGAGGACGAAGTGCCGGAAGATACAAATCATCAGAAAAGGTATTTGTTATGATACGTCAACGCTTTACTAAAATTTAATGAATGTTAAAACCGATGCACTTTAACCTCACAATTAAGACCGCCCTTAAAAATAATTTACTTTTAAAAGTTTATAATAAAAAAAGTCTTTAAAAATATTGTGTGTTTAGTAGAAGAGTTTCTCAACCCTCTTGAATAAGTATTTTTTATTTAATTTTAAGAAAGTGTACATTAAGGGCGAATATTGTATATACCTGTATTTTATTTTTTATGTACAATTGTTTTAATTCAGTTGCAAATATTAATCAGTGTTTATTCAATAGCAAACGAAAGCGAAACCGTGGTAAGAAGCATAAAGATGGAAAACATGAACAGGAGAGTGGAGACGCTCCCCAGGTTGATGGAATTATTGACAATAGTGATACTAATAGATTCGGAAATTTATCGATAAAAGACTTCAGGGCAGCAATGGAAGCCTTCTCACTTCAGCAGAAACCAGCAAAAACTCCAGAAGAGGCTCTTTATAAGAGTTACCAATTTTGGAGCACACAACCTGTTCCAAAGATGGGTAAGAACTTGAACTCATTATCAGAAATACTTTTGTGTTTACTACTATCTTGTAGACGAAAAGATTAACGTTAATGAAGCTATTGAACCTGATAAGGAGATTACTGAAATTCGTGCTGAACCATATACATTACCAGCCGGATTTATTTGGGATACCTTAAACTTGAATGAACCTTTAGTGCTGAAAGAGCTTTACACTTTATTGAATGAGAATTATGTGGAGGATGATGATTCTATGTTTAGATTTGATTATCAACCTAATTTTTTAAAATGGTAAAACATTTACATTAATTATTTGGGTGAAACTGCAGTTTACAACATCTTTCTTGAGGGTGGCTTCAAATATTGTAATGCTACAGACATAGCAGAGCCATATAGACAATATAGTAGGGCAGGCAACTGTCATGCTGGCTATCAAACAAAAGAAAAGTTGACCATCATAACATTCACTTCTTTCATGTTGTCTTTTCCTACCATAATCCTAAGCATATACCATTTTACAAAGCCAACTTCAGAGATAGTGTTGTAGATTGCACATTATTTATTTTTTAGATAAAATATCGTTTTCAGGGCTTTGCAGCCTCCTGGTTGGAGGCGAGACTGGCATTGCGGCGTTCGAGTTGTCAAGAGTGGTCGTTTGGTTGGTTTTATAAGTGCTATACCTGCAACACTTAACATATATGATAAGTAAGTAATGGTATTATATATTAACATGAAGAATAAGTTTACATATTTGATTTAACTATCACTTTTTTTTTTATTGAGGACTCAGAAAATGGTTGAAATCAATTTTTTGTGTGTTCATAAGAAACTTCGTTCTAAAAGAGTTGCACCAGTGTTAATTCGAGAGATTACTAGGAGGGTACATCTTACAGGCTTATTTCAAGCTGTTTATACTGCAGGGGTCGTGTTACCGAAACCGATAGGGATATGCAGGTATTAATTTGACTATGACTTTAGATGTACATTTTTAATTCATACTTAAATAAACCCTTGAATATGTTTTTTTTGTATTTAGGTACTGGCACAGATCGTTAAATCCTAAAAAGCTTATTGATGTAAAATTTTCACATTTGAAGAACAATATGACGATGCAACGCACCCTTAAACTATACAAACTTCCTGATCAACCAAAGACAGCAGGTTTTAGAAAATTACAAGCGGCGGACGTACCCAAAGCGCACAAAGTTTTACAAGAGGTAAGAGAACACAGAAAAGGAATTATAATAAATGAAAAGAACATGTTATTTGTTTCTGTAGTACTTGAAACGTTTCGATTTGGCTCCGGTATTTTCGGAAGACGATTTTGTGCACTGGTTCATGCCTCAGGAGGGCATCGTGGATAGTTTTGTTGTCGAAAATGACGGAGTCATAACTGATTTCGTCAGTTATTACACTCTTCCTTCGACGGTGATGCATCATCCAGTACACAAAACGTTGAAGGCTGCATATTCGTTTTACAACGTTTCGACAAAAGCTCCCTGGGTCGATCTTATGAACGACGCCCTCATATCCGCCAAACAATTGGGATTCGACGTTTTCAACGCACTAGATTTAATGGATAACAAAGAATTTTTAGAACCGTTAAAGTTTGGTATTGGTGATGGCAATCTCCAATATTATTTATACAACTGGAAATGTCCGAATATGCCTCCTAATAAAATCGGACTTGTACTACAGTGAGAAGGAGAAAGTTAAAAAAATTTAAAAAGATGTGGAAATTTTTGTTAATTCGTTTATTATTTTAAAATCATATTTACCTGGTGGTAATCAGTTTATATATTATGTTTTATTTTCAATTTATAAAGGATATTGAAAGCTTCACGCAACGCTGTTTTATTTGTTTTTTTGCCTTTTTTCGTTTTTACAAAACACTGTCTTTTGTTGCTTCTTGTACAAATCGAAGTGGCGCTCTTTAATTCAAATGGTTTGTTTTCGTTTCTGTTCGCTAAAACCTTAAGCACTGTGGTTGGATTATGTATTAGTGATGAAAATTGCCTTTTCTTTTTGGAACAACATTCATTTACCTTTTTTGTGATTATGTGGCAGTAAATGAGTGTAATTTGTGACCACCCTGTATATTGGCATACTGAGAGTATCGTTTTTTGATTTATTTTGTTTGGGACTTTTTATATGGTGCTGTTGCAAAAAATTGTGTATTGTCGTCGCACTTAAATAACTTTTAAATAATTAAACAAGTATTATATCATGTTTACGTTTTAACAAAAAAATACACATTAAAGTTAGTCAACAACATACACGGGTATATTTACATTATAATTAATATGATAATATTATAACATAATTTATTGATAGTGAAGTGTATTTTATTGCATTTGTGTAAATGTATTTGACTACTTTTAGAGTTAAAAGCTTTTGTATAGATATCAAATAAAAATGCATTTTAAAGAAAGGAAAGCCCATATTCGAAATACCCTGTATTATAAACAGTTTGAAACTTTTTAAATAACTCTTCTCGCTTTTTATGAGTTTTATTTTAAGAAAGTTAATTTTTTGTGATTATTATGCTTTAAGCAATGTTTATTTCAACACTCGGTATAGTTTGGAGATTGTAGGAGATTATGGTACACTACTTTAAGAAATGTCAATGTCATTTCGAAAATAACAGTCGACTTTAACCTTTTAAATTCATGTAGTGTAATTGTCTTTGTTATAATGATTTTCAAAACTTATTGTACGTTATGTGCCTGAATCTTCGTACTAAAAATAAAATAGTAAAAAATATCAGTCGAAACAATCCAATGATTTCAGTTTCCTAAAAAAATTAAAGTGAAAATGAAGGAGCTTTTTGCCACTTATTTTGAGAGTTTAGCAAATTCTGTTGGCTTGACAACACCAGCATTGACATTATTTTTATCTTTATTAGCAGGCAAGCTAAATATATTGTTAGTATTAATTTTGTAGTTGTTTAAATGGTAAATTGCAGGTTATCCATTGGCATTGATTCATCGTCATTATATTTATGGGAAGGATGCTAAGCTGCAACATCTGTATTTTATTTTGACTGGCCTTATGCTAGGATACTTAAATTATGGAATTAAAATAGCACATAATGTTTTTACTGTGATATTTGTGTACCTTACTTTTATTATTCTGCCTGGTTCACTTATCAGCTTAGCAATAGCTTTTGTGTTTACAATGTCTTATTTACTGATAGGTAAGATCTATTTACTTAATTTTTAGTGACTACTTACATTCATTTCGAGCTATTTAACATCGCAACTGTTATGTAATTAAATTATTTGTTGCAGGTTATTTTTATACAAGTACAAATCAATATGATATCACTTGGACAATGCCCCACTGTATTTTAACTCTGCGTTTAATAGGTAATATATATTTATTCATTATAATTGAAAGCAAAGGAGACTACCAAAATTGGCCTGTAAAGAGGAAATGAACTGGAATTGCAATAATTATATTGTCCAAAGATTAAAAGAATCTACTGTCAGTATATGCAAGGTACTCAAACAGTTAGTACATGGACTCATGTCTCTCCAGTTATATGTTACCTTAGATATGCTTAAATTGTGGATGACAGCAGTATTGTCTGAGTTACTAAGCTTTTACTTCTCAGAAGGCCTGCTACATGGCATGATGGTCTAATTCTACAAGTGAAACTGCAGTAAATGGTTACATGTGTGAGAATAGAAGCAAGTGTACCTTTTGTAACCCACTCCTGCCACACAGGGTTTCCACACAATTTATTTATCTCCCCTAAAAGTTTACATGATGACCTATTTAAAATCAACAGTCATTTCAACATTATAACATGCTTTCAGCCTATTTGGAATATAAGTAAAGTGTCTATATAGACTCTATTTTAATTATGTTTCTATTGTCATGTGGAGCTCAAATTAAGTGAATAATAATTAGTGTAAGCTGTAGTTCAATTCAGTTTACAGGCCAATCTATATTGGAATCACCATAGTCTCCTTTAAGGATAATTATTTAATTTTGTGTCTCTTTTTCAAGGCACTGCATTTGATTTGTATGATGGTAGACAGCCAACAGAAAAAATGTCTGGAGATACCAAGGAGACGGCGCTTGTTGTCAAGCCTACGTTTTTAGAGCTTATGGGTCACTGCTTCTTTCCAAGTAGTTTTCTTATTGGACCTCAGTTTCCAATGAAGAGATACTTAAACTTTGTTTCGGGGAAGTTCAGCTCAAACTGGGTGCGTCCTTTTTTATTTTAGATAATTATTTAATAAGCCATAACTTTATTAACTAACAAAAAAGAAATAGAAAATATCCAATCACATTAAAAACGGTAATGCTAGTTTGTAAAAGCAAAACATTTGGTACGTCTTAGTCACAGACGAATAAGCCTTCAGACTAGTCGCCCCGCAGACTTTTTTAACGACCATATAATACCTAGGCCTTTAATTTGATATATAAAATATGTGTCTACTATCCGCGCAAACATTACTTTCCTGGTCACTATTAAGTCTAAAGATTGAGGATGTACACTTAACTGGGACACTCTGTATAGTTATAAAGGCAGAAACCTATTAATTCAGTAAATTTATTTAAGAAAAAGGTGAATTTGAAATACAAGGAATTTAAGTTGCCTTTGAAACTAATGGAATTGTAAGGAATGAATAATTTCAAGGCATTTATAATTAATTGCGTTACTATCTACATTTAATTTATAAAATAAACGAAATTTTGTAAGAATTAAGTTACACAAAAGGAGAAAGTAAAAATAACGTAATAATTAGGTTGAATTTAAGGGAGAAAGTAACTTTTTTTTAAAGTAATAATCAGTCATTATTTTAATTAGTGAAATTTAAGTTAATTGCAAAGCAATACAGTAGTAGTTGTTACAAAATATAATTAGTAAGACAAAGTAGTTCACAATAAGTGATAAAAAACTAACGAAAGTCGTTAATTATTAATTAAAAGCCAAATAAGTCTTTTTTTATTTTGCTAAAAGACGTCACTAGATGTCGCTTACAGTGACTAAGTTTAAGTTATTGGCAGTTTAAATAATCAATGTGGTCACTAGGTGGCAGTTATAGTTCGATCTAGCAAATATTCCCTTGGATAATATACAGGGTGGCCTATAGTCGATCCCTTCTAAATATTTTGAATTATATATAGGTTTACGAAACACAGGGGCAGATCCAGAACCAATTCTTGGGGAAAATTAACTTCAAAATTCTGTCCTTACCTGCAGTTACAAACTTGAGTTACTCAAGTTGGATGGCATTTTTAAATGTAATTGATTCGCGTCTTTCTTAGTAATAAGCTTTAAAAATAATATTAACAGGAAGATAAATAAGGAGGGGGGAGGAAATGTGTGGGGACTCCAAAAAAATATGTTTTAATAATTTACATGACTTATTTTCAAAGATTAGGTTCTTTCAAATAGACTAGTTCTTTTCCTTGCCCTCGGCCATTTTTATTGCTGTACTATGACGTAGTGTCGGCCATTATTCTTTTCTAATTGTTGCAGTTGTCGGCCATCATTCTTTTCTAATTGTTGCAGTTGTCGGCCATCATTTTTTCTAATTGTTGCAGTTGTCGGCCATCATTGTTTTTCAATTGTTGTTGCATTGTCGCTGATGTCGGCCATTATGTTTTTTTAATAGATGTACCTATAGTATTTTTACATGTCTTTATCGTAATATTCACGAGTGCTTCCCTTAATTCATTTTTTCCAAACATTTTAATGTAATTCGTAAGTCGTAGAGCACTTGGGGAAATTTTGTCGTAATCCCCCCTTTGGATCTGCCACTGCATAATATAAACAGAAAAGCACTTCTTTATAATATACCAAATAGTAAATTGACTACTAATTAGTGTAATTGGTTTTACAGATTTATCTTTTTCCTTTTAAAAATTGAATTTTAAAGCTAGTAATTTTTATTAGAGGAATTTAAGTAAATAACAAGGCAATACAGCATTCACTATTGCAATATATAATTAACAAGACTAAATGATTGACTATTAGTGACAAAAGAACTAATGAAAGTTGTTAATTATTAATTAAAAGCCAATTTAGTCTTTTTTTATTTCGCTAATAAAGGTCACTAGATGTCGCCCATAGTGACTTAGTTTAAGTTATTGGCAGTTTAAATAACTAATGTGGTCACTAGGTGGCAGTTAGGGTTCAATTTAGCAAATATTAGACGGTGAATGACGTCAAAATATGAAATTCCAATCGTAATTCACAAAAATTATTTGTTAATTGGCTGCATGTGTACCGCAACACTAATTAATATTTGCATTTGTTTAAAACAATTTGATCACATTTCTAAAAAGAAAAATGGGATTTTTACTACTTTTTGGAGAAAAACGATGTTTTTTTGTCTCTGCAGAACGGAAGCAAACCTCAGCCATTGGATTGCATACATCCGGCAATGAAAAGATTCTTTCTAGGGGTGGTTTATTGTATCGTATTCCACATTTTGCAAATATTCGTTTCGAACGAATATCTGTTATCAGCGGAGTTTACAGAATTGTCGATTTTCCGGCGTTTGTGGCTGTTGGGTGTTTGGGGCCGATATACCCTTTATAAATACATTACGTGCTGGCTTTTCGCAGAGGGAGCTTGCATTCTGTTCGGTAATTTTACAAAACATTTTATTAGACTTCCAAAAAATCTTGTGATACATTATCTTTTATTTTTTTAATAGCAATGATAAAAAAATAATTAATAATCGTAGTTTTATGATCACCCTGTAAATATACTTGCATAGATATTAGTAAGCGGTAAATACCGTGTGTAATGAAAGCCAAGAACATTGACATAAAGCAAAAATAAATATAATTTGCTGAAAACTCGTAGATAGATCTAACTACATATAGGGTTTTGTACCCTAAGAAGAAAATAATTTGAATTAACAATGAATTTTCAAAGATATAGGTTCTGAAAAAATTCCTTGTACTCGGCCATTTTTATTGCTCCACTATGACGTAGTGTCGGCCATCATTCTTTTCTAATTGTTGCCGTTATCGGCCATCATTCTTTTCTAATTGTTGCAGTTGTCGGCCATCATTCTTTTTTAATTGTTGCACTTGTCGGCCATCATTCTTTTTCAATTGTTGTCGCATTGTCACTGATGTCGGCCATTATGGTTTTTTAATAGATGTATACTAATCAATGATTAAAATTTAAATGAATTGTTTGTAAATAAGTATGCAAGATATCGTAAGAAATTGCTGATACTAACTTTCATATACGTTATACTACTTTTCCCTACACTCACAATTTTTTTATATATGTAATATAAGAAATTTGTCTGTACAAAGTCGATTTGTCTAAATGTTTATCGTAAAATTCATTTCTTTTTCGTTTTATTCCCAATATTCTTGACTTTCGTTGCACACTGCATGTGGGATATGTTTTCCGATTGAGTCGACCTTTTAGGGGTAGCGTACAATGGTTTAGATGGCGAGGGAAAGCCCCGATGGGATGGTTGTGAGAATGTCAAGTTATCAGTTTTTGAAAATGCAACCGAATTTGGCCACTACATACATTCGTTTAACACCAACACGAACAACTGGGTCGCGAAATACGTGTACAAAAGATTGAAGTTCTTAGGGAATAGATACATTAGTCAAGGGGCTGTTCTGTTTTTTTTGGCCGTTTGGCACGGCCTGCACAGCGGCTACTATGTTTGCTTCTTGATGGAATTTATCGTCATGTACATGGAGAAAGACGTAAGTAATTTTTTTAAGGGAAAAAATTAGATCTTTAAATGGTGTCAGTTTTATAACAAATTATTCAACTTTTTGCAATTATTTTTGGAAAATGGCTACTTAAATAAGGGACCGTAAAATGGCACAACTTTGATAATAAATTTATTGGAAATTATTGGTACCATCATTCGCAATTGTTTTTGACAAATAACACTGAGTAAATATTGAATTGAAAATTACAATATCGACACTAACTGTATTACAATTGTTATTTCGAAATATTTTTTTCTTATCTGTACGTATCTATCAATGGAAAAATGGCTCCTACCTATTAATAAGGAAATCAAGAAAATGCCCTTGTGTGGTCACAATCATTTTTATAAATAACGGCTTCGCTCGCAGAAATTAATATTGTTTCTTCATAAAAACTTTTTAACTCCCAATTCACCCCTACCAAGTTCTAATTTCATGTAATGTCGTAATCTTAGACTTCAAATACACACGTAGCAACAACATTTCATCATTAAGGGTTGATAAATAGTTACTTATAAAACAAATGAATTTCAATCCATTTTTCAGTTTTTAGGAAACAATTCAATTATATTATTGGCAACTATAATTGGTTACCAAAGATGGGTTCGGTTTTTCTCGCCGAATCAGTTCAACAATATTAAATTTCTTATAATTGTTTTTCAGTGAATTGTTTCCTAAAAACTGAAAAATGGGTTGAAATTCATTTGTTTTATAAGTAGCTACAATATAAATCTCATTGTACGCAGGCAGAAAGCGGCAAATAATACAAGTCGAACATTAAGAACGCGTTGTGAGCTTCAACAATTGACAAAACGCGTTCCGGCTGTAACAGTTACCAGAACGCGTTGCGAGCGTTTAAAAACAGCCAAAACGCGTTCTGTGCGTTCGAAGGCAGTCAGAACGCGATGTGGCCGTTTTTTCCGGCTACTGAGCGTTTTCGGTTTTCGGGCCTAACATATATATATAGCTATAATATTACCGATCATAAATAAAATTCATTAGTATTCGCATTACATATATTCAACATATTACGTATATGGTAGATTGGATTGAATCTTTTATGTATGTATTAAAATGTCTTTGACATATTGTACTTATTACCTGGTGCCCCCCTTTTTCCATTGTGAAAAATAGGTTTAATTATTATCATTTATTGCCGATACATTTACGTGTGGTATTGTGTGCATGTATATTTATGCATATCTACATGAACATACGTATTAAGTAGGTTTCGTATCTTTTATATGTGTATGACTGTATGTAAGCATGCAATGTATGAAAGGTGTGAAAGTGTGCAAAATAAGTGTTTTAAATCCACACATAAATACATGTATACCTACCTATAGCCGATCGTAAAGTGCAACAATGGTAAACTTTGCGAACGTTTGTTGTGCAATTGGTTTCTCGATCACATTACATATTTCTACAAAGATTAGGATTCGAATGGTATAGGCAGGTGAAAAATAGCGTCAAACGAACACAGCAATTGAAAATTATAGATATCGTCAGGTGTAATTTAACGAAAAAAATAACGCCTGTCGTTAAATGTTGTAATGAGTTTTAGTAATGAATTTCAATTTTAATCAAAACACAAAACATATTTTATGGTGGGTACCAAAAGTGGGTGGTTTATCTTTGCCATTTGATTTTACGAGAACTTTGTGTTTTTTTACTTTGTTTCACAAACTTAAGCCAGTCAAAAAAGTACAAAAGGTGTTGAAAAATTTAAACTTCTTAGATATTTTTGTGTCCATTATATGTTTACCTCTTTGGATTGCATAACTGTAAAAGTAAATAAATAATCCTATTCAATAGCATAAGAAATAACTCCATATTGTTAGAGTAGAGTTCGCTAGACTTTCTTAACTGGTCAAGTGTTCCAAACGACCTCAATAAAGCGAAATTCTTACCTTCAACGTCTGTGTTAGAGAAGGAATAATAAGAAAATTAATATTTTTTTTAAACGAAAGAAAGGTGTATTTATCTTGTCGTTACATAATATTTCTTTGGCTCATTGCTTTACATTAATTTTTATAACATTTAGGTAATTTAAAAGAGTAAAACAACTCTTGGGTATTAGTCAATCAGGCCCACACACCTGTCTACTTTCAGGGACCTTCCTTTTATATTTCCATCGAATTCCGTGTTGTGTTTCGCCCAAACGAAATAGTTTTATTAGGCAACTGCATAAGTATTACAAGAGGTCAATCGATTCGTATTCCTTTTGTATTTAACCTACACGTAATTCATTGTATCACAGGCAGAATCAGACACCGCAATGCATACAAAATAATGTAACTGATCCAGTATTAGCACACAGTTACAGTAGATAAACTTGTGATGTGGAAAACGTGTTTTAGATTACATTCTGCTCACTACAGCGGACAACATTTGGCGAATTTATATTTGCAAAATTTAAATACGTACAGGGCGATACAACAAATATATTTTAGGAAATTTCACAATGATCTTTGTACATTTTGCTTTAGAATGATAGCAAGGCGAAATGAGTAAATAAAGAAGAACATTGTGAAACTTCTGGAAGGTCTTTGTTTGCTACTATTCTTAAGTTAGTCAATATAGTATTTCACTAAGAGCCATTGGCGAATTACTATTTTAATTAAATATGCAGGGAATTTAAGAGTTATGATATTTCTTTTCAGGTAATCTGAGAGATGTCGGCGATATGTCAGAATTTTGTTCAAAATGCATGGAAAAAGGAGTTATGTTCCAACTGTTTTAAATCGAAAGACGAACACGTAGAAAAAATCATGTTGAAACCGATCGCGTTGAAATCGGAAAAAGTAATCGCGAGTATCATAAAAAAAGCTGCAAAAATCAGTAAAACCAAACGTACGGTGTCTTTCACCGCGGAAGTATCGAAAGTTATCGGTTACGGGGGTGAAGACTGGTCTGATAACGATGATGATTTTATGAGCAGTGAAGACACCTCGGAAGATAACGAGTACGAAGCGGACGGGGAAGAAGAGAAAGAGTTACAGAGAATAACAAAGGCTAATACCGATTTTAACACAATTAATGCCAACTTGTTGAACGATTCTCCTCCTGATACTAAAAAAAGTTTCGCCAGTTTGAAATTAGGAACCCCTCAAGTCGATTCAACGGGTAAGAAACAAACGCTACTTGTATCGGTTACCCCTTTCGGGGAGGATAATTCCACGCCGACCAGGAAATACACGAAAACTGTATCACAAATCCCAGTGGCAAAAACTACGAAAGATACCGTCCAAGAACACAAGAAAAATGTAATATTAACTTCCTACAATAATGATAAGGAGGAAGTACAAAAAGATGAGACTGAAAAATCACTTCTGGAAGAGATTTCGGAAACTTTGGAGAAAGGGGGCAATCGGATTTCAATCATGGATTGTAAGCTAACAGAAAATGTTCCCGAAACAAAATCTCCAGAAAATTCACCGGCTATAACCCCTATAATTATCGATAAAAATTTAAGTGCTACCAGTGCTGTTATAAAAACTAACGAAAACAATAATGTTGAACAGTCCGGAAAACCTATCGAATCAAAGCCCAAGATTAACGCCTGCGAAAGAAAAGTGTTATTGACAAGAGCCCCCGTAATAAAGAGGTCCACTGCCAAGCTGGAGCTCTTCACGTCGAAAAATTTGAAACTGAGAAGCAGCAAGGAGAATTTGACGACACCAACTGTGACAAATATTATAGACTCGAAAGATTTATCANTTAGGATTGACGACCTTATGATGATGATGTTTCTATATTATTTCCTAATACGCTACTGTTCTATCTGTAGCTTCCGCCTACTGAAAATTTATTTGTGAATCCGTTCGGAGTGATCTCCCCAAATCGACCATAAATAGGCAATTACCTGCGCGACCACTCGCTAGCTTCGTTGGTCCAACTTGTACAGAGTTGAATTCTGATTTTCGTAGACAGTTATTAATTAAAAACAGATAAGTAAACGAAGAAAATCTTTGTAAAGAAAAGTGCTAGTAATAAAATTATCTTTTCTGAAAATGAGATAACATAGTTTTATAAATTATTAATGCATATATTTTGACCAAAAATTTCGGAAAAGTCGTTGGTTATACCACGCAAAAATATTCAAATGTATAGTTTCGTATAAAGATGTAGTCTACATAGAACATAAGATCTAAAGGGCGGATGTTTAAAAACCTTATCAACTTTCACTGAACTCTTTGTTTATGGAATTCATATTTCAGTTATACCATTACTTTACTATAAAACGAACTTTTTGATGTATTTCAGCGTCACAAGCAAATCATAGAACCGCTCGTTAATTAATTAAAGTTTGCGTGATGTTTATGGGTTAGTGGTGTGCGGTGGTGGGAGTTTATCGAGATGGCCATTAGCAATGCACATTGAAAATAAGCTTCGTGTAAACAGAAAACAATAAAAATCAAAATACAGAAAAGATTATTGTAATATTACTGAAATGTCTTTAAAGGAATTGTAGGAAACTATTTTGTAATTAAAAGTTAGGTTAGAATAGGTTACAGTCCTTGTAAATAATTTTGTCTGACTTCATCTAAATAATTCATTTTTCAGGTTGTAAGTAATTCTCTAAACTGCAGACCTACATGTACGCACGAATCGATATTGACAAAACAGTACTGTATGAAAACAAACAAAAGTAAAACAAAAATATTGGTATGCAAGGAAAGAAAAAGTAGGGAAAGAGCGACTATAAAGATAGGAGACGAAAGATTAGAAGTGGTTGATTTTAGGTGACTAGGAAGTCAGGACGGAAGGACTAGTAGGGACATAAACCAGAGGATAGCACATGGTCGAGTCGTCTTCAATAAAAAGAAGTCACTTCTATGCTCGCGAACGGTTAATTTAGAAATTCGAAAAAGGTTGTTAAAGGTGTATGTTTGGAGCGTGGCGCTGTACGGGTGCGAAACATGCGAAAAGAAAAGGTTAGAAGCGTTCGATATATGGTGTTACAGGCGAATGATGGGAATACAGTGGATAGAGGTTAGAATTGAAAAGGTATTAAAAAAAATTGGAGAACAGAGGACTCTATGGAAGTCAATAAGAAATAGGCGAGATAGGTTAGTAGGACACCTTCTCAGGCATGAAAGTCAGATATATTAGAGGCAGAAACGGGAGTTAGGAGGGGTAGAGGTAGGTCTGGATGAGTTCGCAAATAGTTAAGGATGTGAAATGTTCTAGTTTTTGGGAGATACGAAGATTAGCTCAGGATAAGAAAGAGTGGAGGTGCGTGTACAACCAGTCTTAGTACTGACGACCTTATGATGATGAGATATCATCTGTATTCCTTGAACAAACTAAATTTTTGATGATGAAAACGACGTATATTGACTTTAAACATTGATCGTGTTTGATAGGTACTAAATAACATGAAGACTTCATATTTATTACGTAATCATTACAACATGGGCACATAAATAACGTATCATTAATGTTCATCTGAGGTAAACAACCGGAAAACAAATATTTAATACAATTTGTCGGATACGTCTTCTTATTGACTATTATCGGTCTGACAAGTATTTCGCAATTTCTACACCAGTATGTTGCTTGGTCTTTGTCACTAACTTTAAAACGTTCGAATATGCATTTTCTTCGAACAAGTTGCTTTTTCGGTTTCGGCTTAACTATCGGCTTAACTTTACAACTGTCTTCCTGAACACACATTTCATCTGATTCATTTTCGGTATAATCATCATCATCATCATCATCATCATCGTTGCAATATTCCACATTCGATTGGTCTTGCTCTTCGTCCATACATTGAGTCTGCATATTCGCGTTGCATTCCTCACAATATACAGGAGCATCTACGAAACATTCGTCACTTGAATTCTGATTAATATCCTGATCCACGTCATCTCCAAACGTTAACGTAATCTCTACAGTGCTTCTGTCATTTTCACTATCCGATGTTTGGTGAGTTTGTTCTCGTGACGTTGGCGTTTCAATATCCTGATATGTATTTGATTCCTCGTCCTGTTCGACGGGCTGTTCTTTTTTGTCCTCTCCCGATTTTATTCTTGGAAGTAGCAACTTTTTACATTCAGCTGATTCCGACATGACGAGTTGCAGTAACTGATCGCTACAGTCACATTCTGCATTTTTCTGTATCTTTCTGCACTGTATTTGCTTGTTGCAATTCCAGTCCTTCAGGTTTTTCGCTTTCCTGGATTGGTTGAGGAGCCTTTCGAGTCTGGCGCTTGATCTCGACCGGTAATTGTAAATTCTCTCCTTCCTCGTTTCATCATTATGATTGAACCATGGGTTGTCCTTAAGGCCTCTTTTTCCCAATTGGGAACAGCACTTTGTCGAGCTAATTTCCACACGACATCCTTTCGCATTTTCCGTTTCTTTCGGACAAGATTGAGTTCGGCATGCGACATTGGGAGTGTCTTGGGAACATGTTGAAGGTTTTGCTGTTTCTTTTGAAAAACGTAGGGGTTGATTAGTAATACAGGAGCTATTTTGGAAACGCTTTGGAGGTTGGGCTACTTCGTTTGAAGAACACTGGAGTTGAAATGTACAACTGGGAGTATCCTGGGAGCATTTTGAAGCACTTGTTTCACTTTGACATCTGGTAGTTTTTTGTTTATTGGGCGACGGACACTTTTGTTTTCGACGTTTTAATGCTTCCAGGCATTGAGAATATTTGTGTTTCTTCTTGGATACTTTCTTGTGGCTATCTTCATGAAATGAACATCTAAGTTTGCTTTTGCACGAGATTGCTTTGTCCTTCAGACTAGGTTTTTTGATGCAGGATTCCTTCTCTTTAAAATTTTCACACATACAGGCCTTTGTAGAAGTCGCCATTTCTCCACATTTGATTCGAAGAGTTTCGCCAGGTCCAAGTGATAACAGATCTACTTCGTGCAATTTTTGGGAGGACAGTGCTCTTGGTTTATACTTAAACTGATCTGTGGTGGACCCTTGTCCTCTCAAACTTAACGCACTAGACATTCTGTTCACTAAGTCGTTGCAGAATCCTTTTCCTGGTCTTATAGACGAGTACGTCCTGTTGGTTGAGCTTAATTCCCATGGGGTTTTAGTAATACTCTGAGGTTTATCGCCAGCTAAATAGCTTCTCTGGTAGTCATATTTGGATGTTCTTGATGTGCTAAACCTGCTAGGCTGTAATGGGCCGTCAGTTTGTCTTGTTGTATTCCATTTATTACCTGTATATTTAGTATTTTCGATTTTGTTTCCACTCATCCAGCTTGACGATTTAAAATTTGATGAAAATTTGTCGCTATCTTTTTTACAGTTATAAAAATCTTGTCCTCTTTTCCATGGTTCGTTTTTTGATTTAAATTCGTCGTACATATCTCTGGAATTTCTTGAAAGTGAATGTGAATTTCTAGGATGTTTTTCATATAAAAATTCCATGTCTTTATTCGATTGCTTTTCACCTTTCGTAGCTGCGGAAGAATAACTTGTTTCTTCAAAATTCTTGAAAATGTCGTTTGTGTCATTGTTGGTGTTTGTACGGTTGAGTTTTTCATTCGGTTTTGTTTTTGATCTGAGGGATGCTGTATCTTGAGCCCTAACCGATTTGATTGACCTATTTTCTTCCGATTCTACAAAATTGTATTTTAAATTATTATTTGCATCAATATCCTTGTCATTGCCTTTTAAATCTTCATCTGATTCAGAACAATTGTCCTCATTTTGCCACTTTGAACTATTGTTATCTACGACTTTCATTTGTGGTTTAAAATCACCATAATCTTTAGATATTTTTGCAGTTTGTCTTCCATAATGAGATTTGTGACTTTTTTCGTCATTATCATCAGTGTTTTTGGAATTCTCTAACATTTTTTGCTTAAATTCCGCTTCCTTCAAAATTTTGGTTTGTTTTTTGACATTTTTGTATTCTGATTGAACATCTTCATTTGAACAAGTTTCAGCATTTATCTGTGTATTATCTACCACATTTAACTGTGGTTCAAAATACTTCTGACCTTTCGCTAATTGTTTCGCATAATCAGATTTCTGTAAGGGTTTGTTACGTGGAGCTTTCCTTGTTGAATTAAATTCTTCGTCTTCACACGATTCATTGGAATTTCCTGATTCGTCTTCAAAATTTTGATTACGATTATTAAAGCGTTCATCTTTATGTTTCGGTTGTTCTAACGACTCTTTTCGACGTGAAGATTTATTTTTCGGTTTAATTTTGTTCTCTCCTTTTTGACTGTCAAATGACTGCTTTCTCCTTCCAGGTTTTGGTTTGGTTCTTTTAGGTTCTTTATCTGATAATAATGGCTCATGAATTGATTCAGAAGAGCAACTGGTTTGATGTCCTTCAATAGATCCTTTTCGACTTAATGATGAGTTGGCTTCCGATTTCTGATAAGCGTTTGAATTTGCCGACATTCTTTTGTTATTTCTTTCTAAAGTTTCCAGCTCATCAACTGATTCAGAAGAATATTGATTTTCAGCTTGTTCTCCTGATTTATTTCGATTTTTGGGTTTTGATTGCGTAGGTTCCTGCTTAGTTTGTTCTGAATCAGTAGAAGTATTCTCAATTTCGTCGTCTGATTCAGGAAGACTTTTGTAAGTCCTTTTATCCTTTTCTTTATATTTTTCATAAGGGTTTATTTGTGACATATCCTTTTCAGTCGTCCTTGAATATTTTGACATTTGAAACGTCTTTTCAGATTTCAGGTCAAGTTTACAGCAATCTTTAAATACTTTGTCCGATTCAGGAAGGGAGCTACGATTATGTCCAGATTTTTCACTGGAGTTCGTTTCTGTTTTCCGTTTCTTCTGCCCTTTTGAAGCCTTTATTTCCGATTTTTTACTTTGATCCGATTCAGAGTCACTGTTATATTCATTTTCCGCAGATCTTTTTCCATTGGAAGAAGTCATTTTTGGTCTACGTCCTTCTACCTCATTCGACAGTTTTCGTGGTTTATCAGATTTATTCTTGAAAATTGGAGTGGTGTAAGACTCAAGAGAGTTGTCGGAATCTTCGTCAGGTTCTTCATTGGATTTCTTTTGTCTCGAAGAACCTCTTTTTGATTTCACGTCTTTAGTACCACTTGTAGTTGTTGAATCTTTACTGTTTCTTTTGTTGTCTTTATTAGTTAATGGTGGTACAACGTCCGACTCTGATGAACTCTCTTGTTGATTTCCGGGATCATCCATATTACGACTGTTTGGACCATTCGTTTTTGATTTTAGTTTGTTTGTACGTTTAGAGGTTTCGCGCATATTTTCACCCATATCGACATTTTTCTCTTCTTTGTTGGATTCCTTTTGGTTTTTATACGGCGATTGCAACTGTTCGTCAGAGTCGGTGCTAAGTTCTTGTTCAGGCTTTTCTGTAATCTTGCTCAGTTTCAGTTTGGCAGCATCTTTAGAACTTTTTTCTTTTGATGCAGCCTTATGTTTACTATCAATAGATTCCATTTGTTCGAAATCTAGATCGTCATCACTGTCGGTATGCACACGGCACGATATTTTAAATTCCGATACTGAATCATCGCAGGTGCTTGGCTTAAGGTGTGCCACGTAAGTGGTAAGTTTCACATTTTTAGCCAATATTTTAGAAAGCTGATCTATCGCTGTAGGTTTCTCTTCACCAGATTCCGAAGAAAATTGTGGCTCACTTTTAATTTCTACAAAATAAAAATTGCAATTCTTATTTGCTCTTACAGAAGCGTTAACTTCATGGAATTAAATTTATTTTTACCTTTATTTTTAAGTGAAATACTGTTTCGACCGTATTCTTTTTCCTTTTTCACAAATGACGGCTTAAAATATTTTTCGAATGTAATAGCAGTGGTTCCGAAGCTTGCTGTAATTGGCACGATTGTTTCCTGGGTTCTGGCGTTAATTCCCTTTTCCGTGGTAGACGATGATTTAGCTCTATTTTTACTATGTTTGGATGAAACGCTCGCATTCGGAGAAATGTTTTCAAGGGTTGACAAGGTGGTATGATAATCTGACGAAGAATCATTTTCCGAAACTATCTCTCCAAATGTCGATTCGCGCTGATCCACTTTCTTTATTGTTGTTGATTTGGGATCATTGAATTCATGGTCAATTTTAATCACCTTCGTTTTCGTTTTTTCTTTCTCCTGAATGTTATTTAGTCTCTTTCCACCTTTTGCATGTAATTTCTTGTATTTTGTATCTATTGTGTTGCCGTCTTTTCCAAACGTTTTAAAATATTTTTTAGTAGGACTCTTTTGTAACGATTTTTCTTCTATTGCATCTTCATTTCTATTGTTATAATCTTGCTGTATCCTATTTTTGTTGGAGCTATTGAAATCCGTCTTCAAAGAATTATTTTTAACCAATTGATCTTTACAACATTTGATAATTTTACCAAATATATTTCCGTTGTGCCTGTCGGTTTTGGTCAATTCCTTGTCACTTTCAGTATTCATTGCACCGCACTGAGCTTCTCCGTTATGATTATAAAAAGAAGAAGTCAATATTGCAAGTGTTTCCAAGTCTTTTATTCGCTGATACAGATCTGATTGTTTATTAATTACAGTTATGCTATTTTGACCATCATCATTTTCTAAAGCTTTCTCAGTCTGGGCTTTGTTACAATAGAAATGAAACAGATTTTCAGAACTGTTCGAGGGAGAGTTGTCTTCTTCGACTTCCTTATGATTAATTTTATTTGATACAGCGGTGATGACAAGAAGTGGTTTCGATGGTGAAGATGACCCTGACGGAAGGTTATCATTGGATGATGTTTTGATTGTTTCATTTTTTGAAATTGTAGACCATAACGTAACAACTTCAAATTGGTCTGGAAAACTTGCATGTCGAATTATTTTTAACTTTTTATTGGTTTGATTTTGGCTTTCGTCTCTCGAAAACTCATCGGACTCATTCCTAAAAAGTAATGGATTGAATTTTTCATTCTTAGAGGAATTACAGTAGTATATTATTTCGCTTTCTTTGTTTCTTCTATATCTTTTTCTATTACGTTTGGACTTTCTACTTTTCACTTTCTTGCTTATTCGTTCTATGGTAGTAATTGAAGATGAATCCTTTCGTAATAATTTTGTGTCATCTGATTTTATTGTAATAATACTATAAGGAGGTGTGGACTGATAGCTGTAGTCGCTACTGCTACGGGGCATTCTCCTTTTACTTTTTCTCCTTTTTGACAACGATGATGATGATGATGAAGCAAGAGCATTCAGTGACCGATTCGATAATTTTCGGTCAGTAGACCGTTCACGTCTCTTTTTCTTACCGTGTCTAGTCGTCTTATGTATTGACATTTCCGATGGACTAGAATCCATTAATTTATCTCTGTTTAAATGACGTGTTGATTTTCTTCTTGATCTTTTTCGTTTTTTACGAGTTTTTATGTGATTTAGACTGTTTTTTAATTTATTTATGAACGAAACGTCATCGCCGCTATCACAATATTTCACTAGGTTTTCACTAAAGTGTGCCCTGTTACCTCTAATTCTGGGATTTTTATTTTCACCTGCTTTATTGAGTTTATTAGCTGTTCTTTCAGAGTCCTTTAACAATTCGGTTGTTCCTTGTTTTTCTCCCATTTTCAAAGCATTTTCGTTAATTTTTGTGGGTTCATTTTTATTCGAATTGAGACCCAAAAGACACCTGGACTTCATATATTCTTCTAGATAGGATTTTTTTTTATTATTCGGTACCTCTACACGATCTTCAAATAACAATTGTTTTCCATTCAAACACGAACTTTTTATTTGATTTGGTGCATCGATTTTTATGTAAGAGTCACTTTCAATTTTGGGAAGGGAATCTACATAAGGTTCCTTTTTGTCTGTAAGAGCGTGAGAATTAGTTGAATTTCCTGACATATTTTTAATGGTGCTGTCTAAGGCTATTTCACATGAACTGTTTCGTGGAAATACAATCATATTTCGATTTTCTTGGAAACTAAGTTTTCCTAGGGTTGCTGAAGTGTTTTTGCTGCGACCATTTGCAGTCCCTCCATCAATTAATAAATTATTAGTTTCGTCTGATCGATGTTGATTATTTCTATAAACATAATCTTGGGAAAAAATTTTCGCTAATTTTGTTTTTCCAATACTTTTTTTCAGAAGTTTCCGACGATATACTTCTCTTACGTTTCAACCCTAACTGTTTTTCTTCGTTTGTTGATACTTCAGTCGTCCCGGTTTCACACGATCGGTGTATTGGTTGACCCAATTTTGGTATTAATTTTTCGTTGACTTTTTCAATGTTAGAATCTTCACCAGTTGTTCTTCTTTCATTTTTAAAATTGAGTAATTCGTCTCGATCTAAATGTACTTGGTTTTTGAAATTTCCTACTCCTAAGCGAATTATCTCTGCTACAGATAAGGCAGCTTCTTCCTTTTTATCGTACTTTCTGAGTTCTGGTTTCTTTGTTAACTTCCTGTCCATTTGGTGAACAAAATTCGACAATATCAATTTAGTTTTGGATTCACTTGATGTGGAATCCGTCTCAATCGAAAAAGAATTAGAATCGCTACTGTTTTTAACTTTAGAATATTTTACAATGAGACGAATGCTTTCGGTATTTTTCAGGAAGGGGTTGTTTTGCTCACATGTTGGAACTTGTAGAGAATCAACCCCAACCGATTCCGACTTTTTAGCCACCAGAATGTTAGCAGCTGATAAGCACTTGTCTTGTATACTTTTGACAACTTGGATTCCTTTCGTTGTCCACAACGTTGTTAGGTCGTTGTCGAAAAGTCTTTGTCTACTAGTCAAATATTTAGAACATGTCATTTCAACTTGCTGCTTTATCAATTCATTCACATGGGATTTGTATTTTGGTGATTTTACTATTTCACTTGTTAGACATTCCTTGCAGAAATTGTTAATTATTATTCCACTTCTTGGTCTACTGGTGTCATCGTCGAAATTAGGATCTAAAATGTGAGTTTCTTGATAACTCCTTTTTATATACTGTTCAAGATTTGTGTAGGTTGATTTTGAAGAAACAGTAAGCGCCGATCCGATAAGAGCATTTTTTTTATGGTAGACGTAAGGATCATTTTCTTTTTCGGTAGCAACATTTTTACTAATTACTTTTCTTTTTGGTATATTATTATTATCGTCTAAATTTTCGATAAAATCAGTGACTTGTACATCAACTGATTTCTCATTGGACGTAGCTACGTTTTCGTCGACTTGAAAATTGCAATTTGTAGCAACTTCTTGCAATTGTTGTTGTTGTTGTTCACCTTCTCCAAAAACATTTTCATGTTTTAGGTGTGTGTAAGAATCAGCTTTAATGTTTTTATAGATAATTTGACAACCATCATCCACTTTTTTGTGCTCTGTTTCTAATCCTTGGGGATTAAAATTTACAATGTTTGCATTTTCCTTCTTAGTTGTGTTCTCGCTTTGTAAGTTTATAATCCTGTGGTTGTCGCTGGCATTTAAACAGGAGTTTTCATAAATCTTAACTTCCAAATACTTCGATTTCTTAACTCTGCTACTGGAGTTCTTCGTTCTAAAGTTTCTGATTTTTGTCTTTAGTCTACAATTGCTACATTGAATCAGTGGTTTGTAGGTGTTGATGGTTTTATCCACACGATCCGGATTGGCTGTTGGAAAGCATTTTAGTTTGCAATGACCGCTTAGTGACTTTTCCTGATTTTCTTCATTTGGTACTAGGGAATGTGTCATGCTAGAGACTGGAATGCACTGAAATTTTTTTTCGACATTTTGAAAATGTCCTCGTGACAGTATCTGACAGACAGTTGATGTTATTTTTAATTTGTCATGTAAAGCAACTTCATTTGAACTTTCTTTAACTGCCCTGAAGAAATATAGAGGTCACTACTGAAAACACGTTCCCATTTAAAATAAAGAGGATCAGCATGGGCGTAACGAGAGATTTCTCCGAGGGGCAGATTTTCAATAGCTATGTCTATGTAAGTTCAATGTGTTTGAACTTTGTGTCATAAAGCCTTTTTCAAGGGAGGTACAGGTCTGACGAAGGAAGCTGGCGAGCGGTCGCGCAGGTACTTGCCCATTTATGACCTATTTTGGTAAGTCACTTGGAACCGATGCACAAATAAGCTTTCAGTAGGCGTAAATTATAGTATTAATACAGATAGGACAGTAGCGTACTAGAAAATAATGTAAAAACATAACTTATCAAAAAGAAAAAATTAACCTATTGCTTTTGTTTTATAGTTAGTTTTCACATTCACTCTCATCATGGGAATCTCTTTCACTGTCACCAACATCAACAATTAGTTCTTCTGTTTGTCTGTCTATTACTTGCTCACTGATCCCTATTTTTAAATATTTAATCTACGCCTCTGATAGGAATACTGAAGAAAGAGGGCTGCAATCTTTATACCTAAAACTGCCTACTTTTGCCATCGCGCATCCACGCCATTTTAAAATTTCCGCCAGCTTCCAGCGTCAGGCCTGTAATAAGCTTGCTAGGCGAAGCAGTGCCCCTTTTGCTCCTTCCTATCTACACCCATGAGGATCAGTTGATGAATAAACATTTGTTAGTAAAAAAGGCACATTTATTAACTTTTAACAAGCACAGAAACCAAGCTTTTTTACAATAATACTGTCCATTATCCACAATTATTATTTAACCACAAGTTTTGCAACGATCTGTATTTGCTTCCTAAATAAGGATGCACTATTTAAATGTAAGTTATACAGGAAATAAATTAAAACAAAGTACGCAGTCGAAAAGAGCTTTATTTGAGTCAGAAAATTTCAACGACGCCATTTACTACATGATCCTGATCGTTTAGAAGAAACAGATTCTTTTGAACTTTTCTTTTCAATTTTTTTCATTTTTCTTTTTGTGTTACTACTAGAACATTGTTGGTGTTCGGTTTCACATTCCGCTCTCTTTTTTGATTTCCCTTGCCTTGATCTGACTTCATCATCATTCACGTCTCTCCATTCCATGGGGGAATCATGGGCCATTGCTGTAGTTGTTTTTGTCTCCCATTTGTTTCTGTTGCCGCTTTTTGTTTTACATCGTTTAAAGGTCGAATTGAATTTCGGCATACAATGTTTAAATCGTTCTTTAAAAGGCACTGTTTTATAATAATAATCCTCTTTGCCGTATCCTTTCATTTCTAGAGGAGATTGTGGAAACATTTCGTCACAGTTTCTGTTAGCACTTACTTTACAATTTCCTAAAATAATTTCGTTTGTGCATTCATCTCTGCTTTTTGGTACAGAAGTAGGCTGATCTCTCTTGTTTTTACTAGTACTTCGACTACAATTCGAAAATTTGTAGCGGACATCAACGTTCGATAGGGTTGTTCGGAAAGTTATTTCGTTTTTTCCCGACAGAGGATTTAATTGTATTTTTTTGGAAAATGATCCGTTTTTGAAGCGCATCATCACTGGGGACGAAAAATGGGTTGTATACAACAACGTCAAACGCAAGAGGTCATGGAGCAAAAAAGATGAACCGGCTCAAACCATTTCCAAAGCCGATATTCACCAAAAAAAGGTGATGCTGTCTGTTTGGTGGGATTTTAAAGGAATTGTTTTTTTTGAGCTTTTACCGGATAACACAACGATTAATTCGGAAGTCTACTGTCATCAGCTGGACAAACTGAATGATGCACTTCAACAGAAAAGGTCAGAACTAATCAACAGGAAAGGTGTAGTGTTTCACCAAGACAACGCGAGACCTCACACAAGTTTGGTCACTCGTCAAAAGCTTTTACAGCTTGAATGGGATACAATGCTACATCCACCATATTCTCCAGACCTGGCACCATCGGATTATTATTTGTTCCGGTCACTCCAAAATTTTTTAGACAGTAAAATCTTCGCCTCAAATGAGGAGGTCAAAAACCTCCTCGATCAGTTTTTTGTCAGCAAAAACCAAAAATTTTATGAGCGTGGAATTATGCTACTAGCAGAAAGATGGCAAAAGGTGTTGGACCAGAACGGTCAATATATAATTTAATAAAGTATATGTTTATTATACGAAAATTGTCTTTCATTTCCACAAAAAAAACCAAATGACTTTCCGAACAACCCTATATTAATGTACTTACGATTGAGATCCCTTCCTCCTGACTCTTCCAGTTGAACCACAATTATCGACTGCCTTACGACGTCTGCAACAATTTCGAGAAATGCTTTGGTCACTCTCGGAATTGTCATTGTTGTTATTGTATTTATTTTTGCATCTTTTTCTATTTGTTGCTACATTCTCGGCATATTCGTCTTCGTCGCAATCTTCGGACGCTGGACGTCTATCGTTTTTATAGTATAAGGATTCTCGGTCGAACTTTGGAGGACTGTAAGTTTGGACATTTGTAAGAGAACTTTTGCAATTGTTCACTTCTTGTGATGTAACGTCTGGATCAAAAGAAACAGACGATTTTGTATAATAATCTTCTTTAAATAGACCATCTTTTCCTCTATCATCACTCATCGGTGCACTTTGAGCTGTTCTTCTTGAACTGGTTTGGGATTGGAAGTCGACTCGAGATCCATTTTGGGACTCGATGGTAGTATTAGAAGAAATTTCCTTCGTGTTAACATCTTCTCTGTAGTTGATGGTAGATTTTCTACGCTGTCCGCATTTGGTACATGTGAAGCTTTCCTGTTTGTCATCACGATCTATTTGTTGGCACTTAGGGTTTTTGCATACACATTTGCCATGGGGTTCGTTAAAAAAACTGACTCCACATTGTGCTTGTTTCTGTTGTGGTTTATGGATCGTTAGAGAACCTTCCACTCCAAAGTGGGACGCCACTGACGATAGTTTGTCTGTAAACAACCTAAGCAAGCTGCTGGTTTGAATACCGGAATTTCTGTCATTCGGTTCTTCGTTGCAGTTGATTGATGCTGCTGATATATTTGAATCTTGAGTTGCAGTTGCAAGAGCAAATATTTCAGAATGTGACTCCTCTTCTTCATCGTCATCACGGGGTTGTTGAAGAATCGGCGGTCGTATGGGTTTGTGACATTTATCGCAGATGTCTTTACTGGAAGACTCGCAATCCGGAATGTCGAACGTATCGGAGGTATTGTTATCGAAGATCAATTTTATTTGGTCGTTTGATTGAGAAATTTCTTGGTCTTCTTCGCGATCGGTTTCTTCCTCACAATCAGTGCTAACGTATGAAGTTTGCCCGTCATTCCAAGTGTAGTTTTCTCTTTTTTTCTTGTGTTTCCTTTTCTTTTCAGTCGATGAGTCCTTTTTCAGTTTCTTTTTTTCCGATTTTGGCGATCCTCTTTGGTAATTGTCTTCTAAGAAACGATTGTATTTAGGAAGGGTCGAGTTATATCCAGATCGTGAAATAATTGGCATAATATAGTCCAAGGTCACTAAAATTTATGTTTGATTCACGCCATCTTCCAATTTGTCATTTTGACATTTCTATAAATAGTGGATGTGTTTCGAAATATAGGGTGTGTTCCGAAATATAACCCAGCATACTGACCAGTGTTGATGACGTAATGAATCGACGCCATACTGTTGATTCGTTCCGAAATATACTGGCCAGTGCGTTGACGTCAAATTGACGCCATATTGACAATAGTGTTTGTGCTCGTTTACAATAATTTTGCTCTAAAAGTTATTAAAGTTTCTTACAATAAAAAATTCCTCAAAGTCTGATGCACACACGCCCGTTTGATATACTGCTACATCACATTTGTCTCACCAGTACAATATGGAGGCACACCGTTACAATATGGCGTCGATTTATGACGTCATCAGCACTGGCCAGTATGTTAGGTTATATTTCGGAACACACCCATAACCTAGCATACTGGCCAGTGCTGATGACGTCATGAATTGACGCCATAGTATTAATTCGTTCCAAAATATACTGGCCAGTGTGTTGACGTCAAATTGACGCCATATTGAGAATAGTGCCTTTGATTCTTTACAACAAATTTGTTCCAAAAGTTATTTAAGTTTATTGCAATAAAAAATTCCTCAAACTCGTCACACTTGTCTCACCAGTACAATATGGTGGCACACCAGTACAATATCGTGTCGATTCATGACGTCATCAGCACTAGCCAGTATGCTGGGCTATATTTCGAAACACACCTTTGTTATATTTAAACGTCCCTGGTACATTAACTGATTTATATTTCCGTCGCCGAGTTCTTTTTTCTCACACGGAACAGAATTTCCTAAGTCGATAGAATTACGAAGAAATACGATAGTGTTTGACTGCGACCTCTGGAAGAAGTCATAAATTACAGCGCCGTTTATGACAATTCAATTGATTTTTGGGAAAATGAGCTCGTGATGAAACAGAATGTCTTTTAGAGAGATTTTCTTCAAGAATCAATCACACTTTATCTGCTCGTTATGTTCGTTTCCCGTCGTCATGGCGTATACGCTCAAAGTAAAAAAAATCTTTTCTTAAGTGAACAATTTTTTAATTTTTTTATTATTACCTCCAATAAATTCCCAATTAAGAGCCTGGTTACTTTCCGGATTTTAAGTACGTATAAAACCGGCTCCATGTCTTTGTCAAATCGATAACTGAACGAACTTCTTGCGAATTTCAGAACCAATTTCTAATTACCGATTATGAAACAATGCCAGAGTTACTACCTGTTGATTAAATTATTGGTGTCACAAATTCGACACCCGAGAGCCGTTTTTCTAAACTGAAAGGTGACGTTTTTGTTTCCTTGCCGGAAATTTTTTTCTTTCTTTTTAGAAGCCTTGTCAATTTTCGAATTCGGCAAACAACTTTCCGGATCAAATATCAACTTATTAATTCCCTTAAATATGTTTATGTTTTGCACCGTTTTGAACACCATTATTATTATTATTATTATTATTATTACCAAGAATGTCCACAATTAGTATCTACAGTATCAGTTGGCGAAATTACCGATTTAATTAAATCGTCTGGCAGGTATGCAAATGTACACATTTCGAATGTCCAATTGACGCGATTAAGCTATTCTAACATTGTCTGTCCGTGGTTAATAATAACTGGGGGTTGTATTTACACGTGTAGGTGTTTATCGTACAACCATTTGGGACTATTAGACCAATTTAAACCAGCAAACCGATATCAGTCTTTGTTATAAATGTACAAAATGGTTTTTTAAAGGTATCTGAATACAAAATGCAAATACTTTTTTGATTTGTTATTTCAAATGTAAAATAAAAAATAGATTTCCCTTTTGTATTTTAAATGTTAAATGTAAAATACGTATTTTCAAAATACGTTTTTCAAAGAAATACTTTTTTGTAGCACCTATTTAATTTTCTATATTCACTTAAGTAAGTATAAAATACGAAAAACTTTTCAAGACTAATAGTGGTATTTGCCCTATATCACCAACTGCAAAGACTGAGTATTATTCATATTTTTCTGTTTGATGTTATAGATATAGTTTTCCTATCTTTATGTTATAGTTTCTTCAGTTCAGCAACAAATGATTCTTCTGTATGCTTCCTTATTTGCCTTTGTCACGCGTTTTAATTGGAAAAAAGACATTATTGCAAACTTGTTTGTTTACCGTGAAAGGTCAGAGTCAAAACAGGGTTGCAAATAATTTTGTTGATGTAAAATCAACATTAGTCAATTTATATCAAAATGTTAACAACCCCATTTTGTTTCCGATCTTTCACACATTGTAATAAGAGAAAGAGATAAAATCCATAGTTCCTTTAGCTTTAGCTTCATCTAATAAGTGAAGTTTCTCGAATCGTTTTCTAAGAATTTTGGATTAGATGCATTTATTAGCACAACACAATATCTTGTAGTTTTCAGAGGCAGTCAAATCTGGCAAATAGAGAGGATGCTTCAACAATTCATATTATATAGACGGTAGCACCTTCTTCGTGAAAGAAATTTTCTTGTTTCTTTTGTAAATGGTGTTCCAAGCATATTAGGTACTTACAATCGGTACTTATAATGAATGTTGTAATTAAGTAATTAGTGTTACAGTTGCTTTTTGTTTATGTATCAAACAGTTAATTTCTAAACTGAAAGGGAGCTATCGAGTAACCTACATCTCGAATCCTTGTGTTCAACACTTATCCCAAAATCAATAGTAATTGTACAAGGCTATCTTGATCGTCATCATTACCTCCTGACAATCTCGTACGGAGTATCGCCATTTTCATTGTCTAAATGCCATGCTAATTACGATCACGCCTAACCAGTAGGCAATTATAATCTTCCACGTTCATTTCATCCGAACATGCTAGAATGTTGACCAACCTCTTCCTCATTCAAATTGAGAATTGTTTTTTCAAGCATTTTTTCCACTTTTGCGTTTCGCGTTTTATTTATTTCGTTCCGCCAATCGTTAGCCACTTTATCGGTTTTGTATTATTTGTTTGTGGACCGAACTAATTTCAAATCGACCATGTACACTCGGTCGTTCGGGATTCCAAATTAAAAATGTCCCAGTGTGTCCATCCGATACAGTTTTGTCGACGGCTGTGCTCGCGATTTAATGAAACCAGTTCCATGAATTTATGTCGCAATCGTATTCAGGGATTAGCGGAGGCTCACTTCAATCCCGATACGCGGAATACAAAATATTAGCGTGTGTAAATATCCACGAAATTTTGCTACTGTACGATTCTATCGTAACTTATTTTTTTAGAGGACCATTTCTTCTGATAACAAGGACAGTTTAAAACGGACAATATTTGAAAGGGATTAAATTTATACTGCACACATTTAATAATTGGAAATGAAAGTTGTAACGTATTTTCAACAAAAAATTAACATTGGTTAAAAAAGTAATGAATGCTTAACCAGACACTAGTTATGTAAAATAACTGCGCCTACATGAAGTTCCCTTTTTCTCCTGTGAAATGCCTACCGCATTCACATGTGCGTTCGCAGAAGCGTCTACCGCGCGTACGGTAACAGAGTATTTGCCTCCTCTCCCATTGCTACCGCGCGAGCTTAAGCCACTACCACGTATGCGGTAGCAAACTATTTGCCTCCTGTATCATTGCTACCGTGCGAGCTGAAGCGTCTACCGCGCGTACGGTAACAGAGTATTTGCCTCCTCTCCTATTGCTACCGCACGAGCTTAAGCTTCCACTGTGCGAGTTAAAACCGCTACTTCGCATGCGGTAACACAGCATTTGCCTCCTGTCCCATTTCTACCGCGCGAGCTTAAGCCGCTACCACGCATGCGGTAACAAAGTATTTGCCTCCTGTATCATTTCTACCGTGCGAACCGAAGCGTCTACCGCATGTACGGTAACAGAGTATTTGCCTCGCCTCCTATTGCTACCGCGCGAGCTTAAGCTTCTACTGTGCGAGTTAAAACCACTACCTCGCATGCGGTAACACAGCATTTGCCTCCTGTCCCATTTCTACCGCGCGAGCTTAAGCCACTTCCACGTATGCGGTAACAAAGTATTTGCCTCCTGTATCATTGCTACCGCGCGAGCCGAAGCGCCTACCGCGCGTACGGTAACAGAGTATTTGCCTCCTCTCCTATTGCTACCGCACGAGCTTAAGCTTCTACTGTACGAGTTTAAACCGCTACCTCGCATGCGGTAATATAACGTTTGCCTCCTGTCCCATTTCTACCGCGCGAGCTTAAGCCACTACCACCTATGCGGTAACAAAGTATTTGCCTCCTGTATCATTGCTACCGTGCGAGCTTATGCTTCTACTACGAGAACTTAAGCCACTACCACGCATTCGGTAACACACAAGTTTTCCCTTCTTTCCAATTGTTACCGTGCGAGCTGAATTCTCTACCTCGCGAACGTAAACTTCTACCGCTCGTGCGATTATACAACCTCTTCTCCCATTGCTACCGTGCGAGCTTAAGCCTCTTCCGCGAGTGGGATTAGACACTATTTGCTTCTCCTTCCATTGATACCGCACGAGCTTAAGCCTCTATTACGTATGCGTTTGCAAAGTATTAGTCTCCTGTCCCATTGCTACCGTGCGAACATGCCTGTGGTTGCATACTATTAGTCTTCTCTCCCATTGTAACCGCGCGAGCCAAATTCCTGTACCGCGAGAGCTTAAGCTTCTACCACGCGTACAATTACACAGCCTTCTCTCCCATTGGTGTCGTGCGAGCTTAAGCCTCCATTGCGCGTGGGAGTCTTTGTCTCCCGTCTCATTGCTACAGGGCGAGTTTCATCCTCTACCGCGCCTGGGGTTACACACTGTTGTTCAGTTAAAATAATTAAGATATTTGACTGCATGTATAGGTAATATATATTTATTAAAAAAAACTTAAAAGGTATATATGTGTAAAAGATGTGTAATGAAACAAATATATCTAGTTTAAGACGAATCACAAATGAATCACTACTGCACGCACGTAAAGCAACAAACACACCCCGACGGACGAACTTACACCCTATCTCTTACGTAATAATAACATACAGACGCCACCATTTAAAGACAAAATCAAGTGGAATGATTATCACTATTGGCGCCGAATGCAGCAGCGAATGGATTCGGAGATAGCACGGTGCAACAATAGGGACACACGTATACAACGTTTCGTACTTTTAAGGGCGGTATCCAGCAGGAGCAAAAATATACGATAAATTTCTGGTAGTATGGTGTGGTGCAAGTGGCCATGGCCTTAGGTTTGACCTTCCTCAGGCAGCGAAAGCACCAAGTTTCCGGTTCTCTGACATCGCCCTTCTTCTTTGCATTCGGGAACATAACGTGATTTCTCTCTTCTTCGTCGTCGTGTTTAGCCGAAACAGTCGGTAAAGTAGGCAATTGTATGTCCAAAAGTTTGTCTTTACCATTGCCATTACCATTACCGTTGGTTCCTTTTTTTTTCGTGCTGTACTTCGAGCTTCCATTTGTTTTCTTCTGCGACGAATTGGTTGACGATCTTTTCCTGAACGGTTCCGATCTTTGTTTACATTTTGGAGGGTCGTAACGTGAGTCGATGTAAACCCGATCTTGTTTCCGTTTATGTTTCGGCGATAAGTAGATAAAGGTGATGTCTGAATCCGTTGCAGTTGTTGTGGCGTCGTCGGCAAATTTTGTCGAAGAATAATGACGATAATTGGAGCGAGATTTTCGGAATGAATTTTTGCGAGGAACATGCCGATACTTCTCGCTGCTTTCAAAAGGGTACGGTTCGTAATCTTTGTGGTTTTTCTCGTAGAAAGAGACAGGGTACAGTCCATTTGTATTGCCACATTTTCTGACATGACTTGGACGGTTCGTATTGTGTCTATCGTACCGATCTCCTCGGTAAAGCTCTTTTTGTATATCGCTTTTAATATTTCGATACAATTCCACGATCGTCTTGTCATCGGTGATCGATCCGTCATCATCATAAGTGTAATCTGTCGTTTGGGCTATCGTTAAACGTGAACTGGGTGAAGTGGCTGATGTTGGCGAGGATTTGCGATTTTTCTTCTTGTTCTTCTTCTTATTATTATTACGAAACAGTTTCTTTTTTCGGAATTTGTGGAATCGTGAAGGATCCTCCATGTGTTCAGGACTCAAGCATCGTCGATCCCATTGATTCGATTGCTCTCCTTGGATCGATGACCGTCATTGTGAACGATGAACCAACTAAAATTTGCTATCTGACGTCTCGAAATGTCATCTTTATTTGAACACTGAACAACCCCTATTTAATGTCACTGTCACTTGCTGTTTTTGTGGACTATAGAAAATCTATGGTCCAGTGGAACGTTGGCTGTTTTTTGGAACTGAATCTCGAAAACTTTGCATATTAGAAGCATCTTTTACTGGATTTTTCAACTAAAGAACCAAAATAATAAATAGCTTTCTTTTAGAAGCCCTACTTTGTCCTTTGAAGGATCTGATCTTTTTTGAGAGAAAAATGTCTCCTTCATCTAAGAAAGTACTTTGACCTATTGTCCCTTTCTTAAACGTATGTTAAACTGGGGTCAATAAAAGGGCTAATTTAGATCCAAGACACGTTTCTTGGTGGCAGACTATGAGGACACGTGTCGACCGTAAGAAGGAAATTGTACTTACATGAGGTTTTCTGCTTGAATTCCGTTTCGGTCATAACATTTCCCGATTCATCCAAGAACTGGATTTGAGGTGTGGATAGTGAAGAAACAGTTTCATTTTCTCTAACCGGCAAGGTCAATCCCGAACCGTCTTCGTCACTACCTTTAAAATCCAGATAAAAAACAAAAGAAAAAGAGATAAAAAAATGAGAATGGGACGATTCGAAATAAAATACAGACTAAAACACCCTGTATTTTACATTGTATAAAACAACTTTTCGATTAGGATGATTTGGGTAGCTCGGGGTGTAAGTGCAGTGGAAAAAGGTTCTATTGTCATCAATTGCTACAGGACTTAGAGTTTGTTTGCTACATCCCCATCTTCTTTGCACGAAATGCTTAATTTATAAGGGTGAACAAACAGAATGCGATAATAATTGATTATTAAAAGGGTCCCGGCGCTCAAGCCTGGAGGTCGTTTGGCCCAAATTAAAATTTGTTGTCCCGCCAACTGACGATTTACGTTCACCCTTTTATCGAAGACGAAATTTTTTATTTATCGAAAAGAACGATAACAATTTTAAGAAAAAAAAAGACGTAAAAATCACATTTTCATTTCCTCACTTCAACGCCCTTGCTCTCGATTGTCAGAAACTATAGGAAATTGTGTTCATTAAATGAAACAGAAAAAACGAAAATTGGAAAGCTTCAAAAATTAAATTTACGACTTTTATTCTTGTGTTGGGAAATAAGAGCGTGTGTGTGAGCTTTTTCTATCTTCCAGAAAAAACCACCCTTCCTATCTCTCTTCTTATTTACCCTTTATTTGTTATCCACTTTACGTGCTTGTTATGTATGAACTGCCTCGCAAAAACCGCTTTCACGGAGATAAACTTTCGCGAAACACGATATAATTCACAGATATTTCCCGCGTTATTACCGACTCTATCTTTTTTCTATTTTGTAAATAACAACAACCGATGATAAATTTAGTAAAATATTCAGCGTTCATCTCAACCAATTTTTCTTCAGGCAACCCCAAGCTGCTTAAAATCGGATAACTACTATTGATTAAAAATAATCAATAATGTGATAAAATCTAAAACAGCAATTGCGAAAGCTTTCATTACTAAAGCTTTTAGTTTTACGGTCTCCAGTTTGCAGCAAATTCGCGACTAAAACGAATAATTTTACGAAATACTACGTCAGATGTTTGCTGTTGTCTACGGATTGATTTCTGATGCACGGCTGCTTATAGAGTACTAACACTAACTAACAATTCCCTGTTGTGCCTTCCTGAGTTCGTGTCTGGACTCGGTAAGACGGAAGAAAACGCCACGGGAATGTACTTAAAAGATTAACAGCAGGGCAATGTGGCACAGCGAGCGGTCAAACTCATCTCGAAAGTTGTTGGTCGCGCGAAATGCTTAACTAACTTCGACGGCTGTTGATTAAAGTCAAAATCACAAGTGTCCGTCGAATTTCATCGTAAACCATATTTTCGTAATTTAATCTTGGACGAGATTACATCTAGTTAACATTTTTGCAGAAAAATCTTAATCGGCAGGCACACAGTGTCATATTAAGCTAGTTTTACACGCATCCGTACTGTAACCGTGCTGCATCAGTGAAACAGAAGTATTATCTAATTTGAATTGACCCTAATTAGTACCGGAATATATATTTGATTTACCAGTTATCATGGTACTGCACTGCTAACTGAAGGATGTGACAAGCTTTTGTAGTTAGATTTTCATTAATACAATCTCAATGTCAAGTAGCTAAGGCTTAGTTTATACGCATCCGTACGGTATCAGTAAAAAAATAATGAAATACGGATCCGTGTTGATTAAATAGTTGTTGGATTAATCGTGGTGACTAGTTGTCGTAAATCATTTTTGCACTTTAATTTGGAACAAACTAATGTGGTGCATATACTCAATATTCTTGTAGTTAAAGATTCACAAGTAAGTGTTCGTGCCTAATTTAAAGACATCCTTATTATAACCGTACTGTACCAGTGAAAAACGAAACATCATAGAATGTTTTTTGCATTTGTTTGGAGTTATTCTTGCCGAAAGGCATTGATTCGTACAGGTACATTTTTTAACGGAATCATCACGGTCACAGTACTGATGTTTGTAAACCCGTCATTATTTAAGAATTTCGGTGACTGTTCTGTTATATGTTCATTTCCCAAAAAAAGCACCTATCTGTCAGTTATGGTCATAAAGCTCGGAAAACAAAAGATCTTATTTATTTTATTTTTTAATTCTAATGAAATTTATTGAAATTGTATCCAACTCCTTGCAAGACATGAATCGTCCTCTCACTCAGTTAATTCGTGTTCGTCACGTCATGCCTTTTTTGTCACCGAGTGCCTCGAAATCCCCTAGACAAAGTTCGATTTCGATTGCATGTTCACGCTTTCGTAACTACTACGGATATTGCAATGGAAAGATCGCAAGTAATTCCAGATGTATAATGGATGTACAGTGCCGTCAGGAAGTTAAGACATTGTCCGCATTCTTTTCAAAACAATTCACTAACTCTATGAATATCAACTATCTACATGATAAAATTGAATATATACGAGGGTGGATTGATAAGTTTCCGGCCTGACCAAGAAAAACAAGGTTTTTAAAAATTTTTTTTTTTTATTTCTCAACATAATCTCCTCCAAGGCTGATACATTTCTCATAGCGGTGTTCCAGTCTATTAATGCCATCTCTATAGACTGATTCGTCAAGCTCCTCAAAATAACCATTTACAGCTTCGATTACTTCTTCATTGTCCGCAAATCTCTTACCGCCAAGCCATTTTTTGAGATTAGGGAACAGAAAATAGTCACTCGGGGCTAGGTCTGGAGAGTAAGGAGGGTGCGGCATCAATTCAAACTTTAGATCGTTGATTTTAGCCGTCGCAACGATTGACGTGTGCGCTGGTGCGTTATCGTGATGAAACAAGATTTTTTTCTTCGCCAGATGAGGTCGTTTAATTTTCACCTCGTGGCTCAAACGTTGCAATAAGTCTGCGTAGTATTGACCAGTGATAGTATTACCCTTTGCAAGGTAATCAATGTATATAATACCTCTTGCATCCCAAAAAACAGTAGCCATAACCTTGTTCGCCGAAAAAATTGTTTTTGCCTTCTTTGGAGTTGGTTCCCCTGGTCCAATCCACTGTTTAGACTGTTCTTTGGTTTCAGGAGTGTAGTGGTGGACCCACGTTTCGTCAACGGTTACGAATCGACGCAAAAATTCGCTTGGATTACGCTTATACAATGACAAATTTGCGGTAGAAATGTTTTTTCGAATCAATTTTTGGTCGACTGTTAGCAAACGCGGCACCCATCTTGCACAGAGCTTTTCCATATGCAAATGTTGGTGCAAAATATGTTGCACACGTTCATATGACATCTTACAGGTCTCAGCTATCTCACGCACTTTCAATCTGCGGTCTCCCAGCACTATTTGATGAATTTTTTCGATCATATCTGGAGTTGTGACCTCAACGGGGCGTCCTGAGCGAGGCCCATCAGAGGTGCTCACACGACCCTTTTTAAACTCGGAAACCCACTGCTTAACGGTTGAATATGACGGGGAGGATGTCCCCAGTGTTGAGTCCATCTCTTTTTTAATTTCCTTCGGCGTTAACCCCTTCAAATAAAAGTATTTGATGACAGCACGATTTTCCTGCTTTTCCATTTTTACGAAAACCACAGAGGCGTCTTGTTCAGCGTGCTGTCAAACCTACACTAGCAAGGAGATCGGGCTGAAACTATAGCTACAAGCTATCCAAGGATGGTACTATAGAATGTCACCTCAAGGTAGGCCTAGTGGCGTCATCTCTTGGTTAGGCCGGAAACTTATCAATCCACCCTCGTATTACACTTTATCACATATTAATAGCCCAGAGATGAATATTTTAGCAAAGTATGAATAAAATATGGAATTTATTTTCATTAGTACACTACCTTCTGACACCTTATAAGCAAGTTAACATTTTTTTTTTGAAGTATATTCAGGTCCTATTTTTAGATGCAGTCTTGAAGGCAACTAAATATTTATGTGAATGCTTCCAAATTTTTTGACAGTACTGTAAGTGTACTATCAATTTTCCTTTCAATATCTTTTGAACTGTATTATTACACGCTTGTAGGTCTCCAGCACGATAAACTTATATACATGTGAGTTTTTTTTTACGCTTACACAGAAGAATACAATAAATGGTATAAGCAATCGAATTTTTTATTTTCTTTACTAAAATGGAACCAATTTATTGGCTTTAATATAAAGGACTTCAGTTTAATTTATTTCGGGTTAAGTCGAATTAGAAATACCAACACGTATGCTTGTAGCATCGTGCTACAGATGGCGTTTACCGCGCCATTTGTGGTATTTTCTAAAACTCACTGTTAAGACAGCAGGTAAAAGTTGGTCTGTGTTCTGTCGGAGCTGCCTGCGAAGCGCTGATGAGATCCAAAACAATCGAAATCGCGATCCGTGTCTGGCAGTTTCGACAGAATACAGACCACTTCGAATTATATTAAATTAACATTGTTACAATTACGCATTGATTGATATTTTTCAAATGTATCACCCTGTATATAAATGCAAACTTTAAAGGGACGTACCTTTGGAGTTGTTCGATTTCGTGATAACGACGTCGGCATCGGACGTGACGATAGCGTCCGCAACCGCACCACCGACGCCGACGTCGGACAGCGGGTCGCAGCGAGCGTCCCTAACGGAAGCGGCAGCGACGCCGAGCGGGTCGTCGTCGGGCGCGGTCGTCGTGAACATAAAGTTGCCGTCCTTGTCCTCGGCGATGGTCTGGAAGGGAAATTGGAAAATGGGGAAAAATCAATCAGCCGCTAAAATTTGTCGCGCGACTTCGTGCACAAATTCAATATATGTAGTTATTACATAATTTCGTTGGATTTTCGAAAGGAATTTAATTTACATAAGCATCTTAAAGTAGTTTTAAAAATTTGCATAATTCAATAATTCCGTTAGGGTAGAATAAAATATTAAGTGGTTAAGCCAATTGGTGTTAGAGGAACAAGTTTTAAGCGAAATTGTGAAAGCAAAGACGATTATTTAAATAATTGTTTACGTCAAGTAAATAATGAAATTATTAAGACGAGTGCGCTGATTTTAAGTTAAAATTTGTTAAGGTAAAATCTGTCGACAATTTTAATTGCTAACATTACAAATATAATTAAAAAAACAAAGTAAAAATAACAGTACCTACCTACACAATATCAATCAATTTAAACAATTCGTGTTGAGCAAAATAAAGTGTTAGGAATTTGGAATTAAAATATTTGCTACACATTTTTGACGAACTTTTTATGAAGCAATGGAATTTCAGTTGTTTTCCAACATTGGAAAACAAAAACTTCAACAAAAAAGTTTCTAACATATATATTTCGTTCCTATTTTTTAATTTTTGACTGGGAAAAATGCCAAGGCATTCAGTATAATTTTAGTAACGAAAATAGATTCATATATATATTTCGAAAGCTGGAGCTATGTCCACTCTTAAAGGTCAAGTGGTCAAATAGTCAGTTTAGTGTAACTTGGATAACGTAGGGAAATTTGTTTGTATTATTTGCCAAATATTATAAACTGAGGAATATAACTATGGTCTAATAGCTGGCATCTTTTATTTTCAGTTTTATATGGAAAAAAACAGTTAAGAATCATGGACGTTATAGTCAGGAAATACCAGAGAAAGGTAAGGGAATGTTTGTCCAATTTTAAAACTCATTCTTTAGTCCGAAAAATTACTCATTTGGAGCTTCTTAATACAAATAAGACAGGCGACTGGCTTCAAAATACCCCCCCCCACCCCCTTCCTCCAATTGTAATCTCTTTCTACAAGTTCCTTTTGCCACGGTGCCCTCCTAATTAACAACATATAACGAGCAGGACGCTAACGATTCAATTACGGGCAAGTGCCATTGAATGTTGTCGCGTCAGGACTACGCAACGTAACAATGAATACAACAACAAGAACAACGGTCACTTACGGAAGTTGGCATCATAGCTACGCCGCTACCACCACCGCCGGTTCCGTCCATGCAACAACTTGAAGCGGCTGCCGCCGTGGCTTGCGACATCGCCGTTGTTTCGTAGCAGGATCCCCCGTTGCCGGGTCCGGGACTCTGGACCGACAGCGACATGTTTCCGTCCGTGCCGCAACGTTGCACAACTGTTGCTACGACCGGGATCTTGATTTGAACGGTACTTCCTGCGGACAATGTAAGGGGACGTGTGAAAGGCATTTTGCCGAAGGGTAAAAGGACCCTACTCGTAAAACGAAGCGATAAAAACAATGAGATGATCGCATACGGTTGTTTGTGTCCAAAAATGGTCTTCATGCGGACGAACAGTGGCGGATTTCGATTAAGAATATTGGCTCCATTTATTGGAAGGATTATTTAAAGGAACGCGTCGAATGCAGTTCTCTTAAAGGTATAATAGGCCCCAATCGTAAAACTAAGGATGTATCAGGCGTTAAATGAATAACTAGTGATGGATTATATGCATCTCGTTTACGATCGATGACCAAAAATGGTACCATTATTATTTATGGCGGATTGAGATCAAGGATATTGGTTTCATTAACTTGAATAGCCCTTATTTGGGCAACTATATGAACCAGAAATGGTACTATTATTATTTATGGATGATTGAGATGGAGAATATTACTTTCTTTGATTCGAACAGATCTTGCTAGGGCTAATATATGATATTGTTGATGATTGGTGACCAAAAATGGTACCGTTATTATTTATGGATGATTGAGATCGAGGACATTACTTTCTTTGGCTCGAATAGCTGTTACTGGTGCTAATATACCGATATTATTGACGATCGGTGACCAAAAATGGCACTATTATTATTTATGGCGGATTAAGATCGAGAATTTTGGTTTGTTTGATTCGAATAGCCTTTACTGGGGCTAATACATGAATGATGTTGATGATCGGTGACCAGACATGGTACCATGATTTATTTAGGCTTTAATTTAGGCGTTTATCTGATTTTAATTTGATTTCTTTTACATTTTTTATCACCGCTTGGCTCGTGTTACTGGTGGAGTGATATACATATATACAAAAATCGACTCCGAAGTAAGTTTAGGCCCTTTTAATTGAAATATAATTTCGAAGATCCGATTATCGGCTTGTCATCTCAGAAATAAATAGAGAGTATAATAAATAAACTTTACGTCTTTATTATAAAATTACACTGGAACTAAATTATTTTCCTTGATGTATAAACGGTACTTTTTTGCGAATACTTTCCCAAGGGGTGGAATCGTAAAACTAACAAATGATAATATGTTGAAACAAATAGATGGACGAAACGTGACGATGATGGGAACCACAAATAGCCCCACTGCGGAACGGCAATGAATACGGTGTAATAGGGGTTGTTTATGGTGAATTTAGGCCAAGGAAAGTGGTTTCTTGAGATTACTAAGGAACGCATAACTACGATACAACCCTGTTATGGTTCCCTGCGGTTACTTTTCTCTGTTCTCACCAAAATTACGAAAAAAAAAAAATGTCAACTGGAAGAAGACTGAAATGCAATGAAAATATTAAGTTTGGTACAACCATAAAAGTACCTAATTGTGACGTAAAGTGAAAACTAGAAAAAGATTTTAAGATTTTTTTGGATTACCATACAGGAAACGATGGAAAAAGGAAAGAGCGCGTACACAGGATTTGTGGATTTAGAAAAAGTTTTTGACAATGTTAAATAGGACAAGATGTTAAATATACTTAAAAATGTAGGGATGATTTACAGAGATAGAAGAGTGATACCTAGTTTGTATAAAAAGTAATAGGCAGTTGTAGAGCTGGAGCAGCAACGTAGAGAAGTAAATATTAAGAAGGGAATCAGACAGGGATGCACACTGTCACTGCTACTTTTTGACGTGACAACGTCTTATAATTCGATGGAGCCCGGCTGCACGCACGAAAAAACATGACTCATGCGGCGTTACCTCGCTCTGAGGCGTTCCATTTAAGGGTTGAAGTGCAAGCGAGAGCGCGGAACGAGCGACAAAGAGGCACAATCGGCCTCCGCGTTCGGCAGCGTTCGACATCTGTCTCTCTCCTACTTGAGTGAGCGATGCGTCCGCGCGTGGACAGCTGCTATACAATAATACATTTCCATTTACCTCCTTCTCTATATCCATACAAAATATCTATCAAACAAATAAAATTAAAATTTTCTTTTCAAAAATGAAACCATTCCATCAGTATTTTCTTATGACGTTGTCACGTTCAACTATCGTCAGTAAACCGACTTTACAGACAACCGATTTTTTAATCTATACATCGAAGACGCGATCAATATCATTAAAGACACTACAACTGTAGGGATAGATATAGAGGGGCAAAAGACTAGTATGCTTAGCTTATCAGTATTAGCATCTGACAAGTAAGAGTAAGAAATAGCTTTAAATAAAATGGAAGCTGTATTGATAAAACAGTATTGTTTGAAAATAAATAAAAGTAAAACAAAAATACTGGTGTGCAAGGAAAGAAAAAGTAGGGGAAGAGCGATTATAAAGATAGGAGACGACAAATTAGAAGAAGTAACTGATTCTAGGTGTCTAGGAAGTCGGATAAGTCAGGACGGAAGGAGTAGTAGGGATATAAAGCTGAGGATAGCGCAGGATGGAGTTGCCTTCAAGACAAAGAAGTCAGGAGTTAAGAGGAGTAGAGATAGACATAGTTCGCAAATAGTTAAGGATGTGGGATGTTCTAGTTTTAGGGAAATGCGAAGATTAGCTCCGGATAGGAAGAAGTGGAGGTGCGTGTCCAACCAGTCTGAGGACTGACGACCTTATGATGATGATTACAGAGAAAAAAACATTAATCATTTTTACGAATTCTATAGTGACGGAAGTGTATCTCTAGTAGAAAGGAACAATCGTGACTTCACAGTACCAACTTAATTTGAAATAAAGGACCTCTATTTGAATTTCCCTTTATTTTCCACCATACCGCCCTTTTTGCCACTTAAGCTGGGGATTTACGGTGCACATTATTTCGACGTACGTAGTAGATAAAATTAAAGAAAAAGTGTGTTCACTTAAAATTCATGCGGTGAAAGTTAATCCGGGGTTGCTCGTGGGGACAGCTGGCCAAGCGGCTTTTATTACTTACATAAATTGGTGACGTTTCCCGTCATATCTCAAAACCACTCTCGCCGTAAATTAAGGGAGGAAATGTTTATGTTTTGGACAAAAATTTCATTATGCAAGACATATATACCCCGTCTCGTCCTGGAACCACAATAAAATTGCGGACTGAAATTTATTTTGTCCAGTCGGAGGAATAAAAACGTAAAGTACCTACAAGAACCGCCGGACAGTAAAATTGCAAAGGCAAAGAGCACATGTGAATATATAAATACCAGTGACGGCTGGTGCATTAGGTCATGGGGGAGTACGTTCTTTTTTATGTGCATGAAAAGGGTTGTTAATTAATTATTTAACTAACATAATAAATTAGTGGATTAAATCTGTTGCCGGTGAAATTGTTACCTTGATTCTCTTCGCCGTCCTTGGCAGGATTTTCATTATCATTGGATATTTTGTCCTCTTTAGTAGCGTTTTCTTGTTTCTGTGTTATCGTGATTTGGCCGTGTCTTTTAAGGTCTTCTGCTGTCGCCGGAACCAACATCTAGCAGACGGAAACAAACGATTTCCAGTCGAATTATCGATATCAAGTAAATTAAATTTTACATCTATAGTCTTTAAGGTTAGGATTACAGAGGGGTGATGGGTAGAATAAATGGGTGATTTCAAAGTCATAACCTTTTATACATTCTTGATGGGCATTGATATCATTATCATTTATGGCGGATTGAGATCAAGGATATTGATTTCTTTAACTTGAATAGTTTTTACTGGGGCAACTATATGGATCTTGTTGATGATCGGTGACCAAAAATGGTACCATTATTATTTATGGCGGATTGAGATCAAGGATATTGGTTTCTTTAACTTGAATAGTTTTTACTGGGGCAACTATATGGATCTTGTTGATGATCGGTGACCAAAAATGGTACCATTATTATTTATGGGAGATTGATATTAAGGATATTGGTTTCTTTAACTTGAATAGGCCTTACTGGGGCAACTATATGGATCTTGTTGACGATCGGTGACCAAAAATGCCATCATTATTATTTATTGCGGATTGAGATCAAAGATTTTGTTTTTTAACTTCACTAGCCTTTGCTGGGGCTAAATCCATTATATTTAAATATGTAATGGGACGCCAAATAATAGCCCCAAAGTTTGAAAGCCTAAATTAGTTGTTTATATTCAATTAATTTATCAATATAGCATTTTTTTTCGATCGATTTGGTACCAGTTGATGTAAGATTAAAAACTCGCAAGTTACTTGACTTTGAAATGACCCATTTACTATATCACTTTCAGTATTAAAAGGATTATTTAAGAACACATTTAGCATTTTTATAATGAAATTTAAAATCGCTGGAGAAACATCCAAGATTTTATTAAAAGCATGAACATTGATTTAATCGCAAAAGTCTTTCAAGAAAGGGGGTAATATTATTATCTAAAATGTCATATAATGCGAAAAGTGGTGACGTGGTACCTAACCTAAAAGGGATTTTCAAAATTACAACAAAGAACATGACATGAAGGTTTCATTAACTTGTTTACTTCTTGCGGTAGGATTAATCTGAAAATTAAGCTACTTGAACTGCTACAAAACAATCCAGAAATGGAAAATACTTATATACCTAACAACTGTTTTAGTCTTTTATTAATTTCATTCAAACAGATGAAATTTAGGGGGTTGTATTATCTCCAAAGAGGGTAAAGCATATCACGTATGCAAGCAGTTAGTCATGTTAAAATACATTAGTAAGGTCTTATTTGAAACTTTAAATACTTTAGTAGCAGCAAATACTCGCTAGGTGGCGGTTCACTGCCTCTATTTGAATATTACATCAACTCGCTCTTTAGGAGATGCCACGGTATGATCAGTAATTAACTAAGACTGTGTCGCGCTGATGAGATCTATTAAGATGAAATTGAGTTTTCAATTAATATCTAACTAAGAGTTTAAACGTTCATAAAAAAATATTTGAAGTGAATTAATAAACATTTTATCTAACTACTATTATTAAATCATTAAAATCAGGGCCAGTCAAATTTTTCGTGTTCAGATAAATCTTCTTTGAATACTGATACGTACCAACAGAAAAAAAATCAATCAATAATGTATCGCAGTGCGCTCTTTTTTATAATTAATGGGTCAGCATGCAAACTAACGAGTCATACGTCAAGTTTAATAAAGAAAATTTAGCGAGTAACACGTTTCGGCAGTAATGGAATACGAAAAGCATTTAAAACTAGATTGTACTTATTTACAAAAAATATACGAAAAACAAGTAGTATTTTCACAATAAACTAAAAATGAAACTGAAAACCCAACGATACATTAAAAGATACATAATTATTAGTACTAACCTGCTTGTCACCCGCTGCAAGGACCCTAACCAAAACAGGTATGCCATTCAGGGGCCTTAGCAGCGCGAAAGGGGTCTGATTGGTAGCCAAGGCATGTTGCATAGCAACTGTGTTGATCGGGTCTACCAAAACGCCATTAGTATACCTAAGAAATTGGTATGATTGCAATGTATTTATTTATAAAAAAAATTACCATTCGCTTTTTTTTATAGTTTCTGATGTATTCTGTTATGAAATTACAGTTAAATTACTTATATAAAGTTTAGTAAAAGTTGACAGTATATATAGAGTGAAGTTTGCATAAAATCGCTCCGGTTATAACGATAGCCATAATTATGTCTATACTAAATACCATTTGCTTCTAAAAATCCTTATTTTCAAAAATGTTTATTATTAGAAGGTCATCAGTCCGAAGACTGGTTAGAAAGGCATTTCCTAGAGCAACTTTGGGTCATGCTCTAAATTAACTTTGTTTTTAATAATCTTTTCCAAATTTCTAAATTAAGTCTTCGCGAGCAAGGAACATATGCCCTTTTGTTATGTCATTCTTTGTTTTATGTCTCTAACACTTTTTCTATCGTAGGTCCTTGAATTTCTATCAGTGTCTCCTTGACGTTCGCTTAATATAAAAGTTAATTATGATTTTCCTTGGATGTTATTATACGCGCATTTCACCGCATTTTGGTATGATATCGACCTTTTTTACTTCCAGTTCCGCTAAATATTAAATGCCTAAATGCAAGCTTCACATTTGGTATATTTTTGTGGTAAACCAACGATTTCTCGTTCGTTCAAACACGATCGTGCATATACACGTGTGATGTATGGTTTTTACAGCTATAGTCAATAATTGTCATAGGTAACAAATGTCGTTGGCGTTTTTCGTATGGAAGCGTGACTATTTTCATTTTTTTTTTTGCTTTTGATTGGTACGTACGTATTCGGGGACCAAAACGGCTGCACGAAACAAGCGGATCACCCGCGTTGTACTCGATTCGAATATAACGGGCACCGATAAATTCGAAGGCATTTATTATGTTCAGGTTGCTTGAAAGGCCGCGGTATATTATTAAACGATCCCGATGATAAATGGGCCCGGGAAATTGGAAAATAGACGGTAAAACTTGACGATAAGTGTCGATAGTAGTCGGTGATGTTGAAGAGGCAGACGAGACGGGACTATAGCGGCCTCTTCTCGTAGAAGAAGAAGAAGACGAGGGAAATGACAGAAGAAAGAAAGAGGTAAAGCCAAGAAAATCGTTCCGTTCTCGGCAATCGCTTTGATGAGCTCGTCGTAAAATTGATAGCTGTTCGGGTTTGGATGAAAAAAAAAATTAGAGCAGTGTTAGGAATCGATTAGGTGCGTCGATAAGATATTTTCGGAATAAGGCTTGAGGAATTGATACAACCCAATAACTTTTTACACAAGAAATAAAGGACTATTTCTTATCCTTTCTAAGTACGTGCCCATATCCACAAGAAGCAGCAACCGATAAACACAGAGCAATGTAATAATATATAGTAGGTATATGTTCAGGACTAACTACCGATGAAACAGAAACAGAAATACAAATCAGTAAAGGCTTTCGAGGCCAATAGGCGAACTGATAATGTCTTGATTCGGGTGTAAAGCCGTCGTTGGATGGAGTTGCTTGCACTAACGGTCAGCTTCTTCAGAATTATTCGATGCTGGACGTGGACGAAACGTTAAACTTGAATCAGGACAGCAGCAGAAACACAAATAGTTAATTATTGATAAAGCTTAAACGGAAACGAATGCGGAAGTGGAAGTACAGGCAGCTATTACAAGGCAATAACAATTCTTCGTGAATTATTATAGTATTGACTAGTACGTAAGGGAAGAAAAAGATGGGAGACGAAAAATCAGAAGAAGTGGCTGATTTTCGATATCTAGGAAGTCAGATAACTCAGTATGAAAGGAAGGAATGATGAGAATACTATGGAGAGAGAATGTTAGGTATTAGCAAGAATAGGAGAACGGAGGACTCTGTGGAAGTCAGTAAGACATGGTAGGACACCTACTTAGGGATGAAAGACTGGTCAGAGACATATTAGAGGCAGAAACAGGAGTGAAGAGGGGTAGAGGTAGACCTAGCTTAGATGACTAATTTTAGGGAAGTGCAAAGATTAGCTCAGGATCTGAGAGAGCGGTGGTGCGTGTCCAACCGGTCTTAGGACTGACAACCTAATGATGATGACGATGATGATGATGAAGTGAACCGAACCCAATTTAGGATGAGGTGCAGATTTTCGTCCAACCAGTACTCGGAATAAACGCCTTATAATAATTAAGTTTGTTGCAATTGCAATGCTCTTTTCAAATGAGATGAACTCTAATGTATATAATTGTACACTAACTCCACATAACTGATGGAAAACTAATAAACAACTATTGTTTAATTTATTTAGGTACTTCTGATAACTGTCATGTAATTTTTGGCAATAAACGGCGATTAATTATAAAATTCTTACTTGATTCTTGTTGGTGTATTCGCGACGTCCCCATTTTGCATGCCGTGTTGATACTGCTCGTGATTCCTCAGACCAATTCGCTTCTGGAAATCTTTCCCGCATATCTGACAAACATATTTTGGTTTATCAACCCTTTGATGGGCCTAGAAGTATGAAAACATTTCGGTATGTGCAAAATGTGTAATGAAGTAAGTAAGTTAATAAGTAAAAGGTATATTCTTCATTTCATCCCTTAGTGTGGATAATATTAAGTAAAGTTCAAGGCAATTAAGGATTGGAAGGTTTTTATCTATGAAGAACCAAATTACTTGAAACTTTTGCTCGCATAACTAAAGAACCCAGTAAGTGTACATTCAATATAAAATGTCCTTCATTACTCTGTTATAATATTGTAGCCTTGAAAAAGTCTCCCAAATAGAGGCGAAACGTCGGTGTTGCCCTTGAACTTCACTTAATACTAGTAAAAGTTATATTCTTTGAGAATTGGTTGCACAAAGGGAAGCTAATATGCCGACTGTCGGTCTTTCACAGACGGTCTCTATGGTGGTTCACATACGTAGACATATCTTTATTATAGTTGGACTATATGTATAACATTCCGGTATATTGTGGCGTAGTTTGTCTAACTAATTTTACGGTATGCGATATAATTAGGCGGTAAAGTTTCAAAACATGCGATAAAGTTTCCTTTGTTGTATGTAAATGGTTAAATGCTTCAATGACCCACCCCGCACGTACATATATTCAAATATTATGTACCCAAGCTAAAAAGGTGTCGCCTATATGGAAATCTTAATAAAATTCTTTTCCTTAAGCTATGTCATTGTTTTGTATATTTAAATTCAAGTTATTAGAATGCGTTTAAATCAGGGATGGCCAACTCGTGGCCCTTCTCGTACGTACATTTTTCTGCTTAGCGAGATTAATCAAACCAATTATTTACCGGTACCGTACCGATGACTGAAAAGCTATTCACCGGTACTGCACTGATGACCAAGACGCTATTTGTCGGTACCTTGTGGGCGATTAAGAAGCTATTCATCGGTACATTACCGGTGAGTTAGAAGCTATTCAACGGGACTGTACCGATGACTAAGAAGCTATTTACCGGTACCTTATCGGCGACTTATGAGCTATTCATTGGTACTTTTACTGCTGATTAAGAAGCCATTCAACAGTGCTGTACCGGTGACTAAGAAGCTATTCACCGGTACCATATTGGTGACTAAGGAGCTATTCATCGGTACCGTATTGGTGACTAAGGAGCTATTCATCGGTACTGTATTGGTGACTAAGGAGCTATTCATTGGTACTTTTTCGGTGACCAAGAAGCTATTCGCTGGTACCTTGTGGACGACTGAGAAGCTATTCATCGGTACTTTACCGGTGAGTTAGAAGCTATTCAATGGTACCGTAACGATGACTAACAAGCTTTTCACCGGTACCTTATCGGCGACTTATGAGCTATTCATTGGTACTTTACTGCTGATTAAGAAACCATTTAACAGTGCTGTACCGGTGACTAAGAAACTATTCACCGGTACCATATCGGCGACTAAGAAGCTATTCATCGGTATTTTACCGGTGAGTTAGAAGCTATTCAACGGGACTATATCGATGACTAAGAAGCTATTCACTGGTACCTTATCGGCGACTTATGAGCTATTCATTGGTACTTTTACTGCTGATTAAGAAGCCATTTAACAGTGCTGGACCGGTGACTAAGAAGCTATTCACCGGTACCATATCGGTAACTAAGGAGTATTCATCGGTACCGCATCGGTGACTAAGAAGCTATTCGCCGGTACCATATCGGCGACTAAGAAGCTTTCACTGGTACTTTATCGGTGACTAAGAAGTGGTTCAACGGTGCTGCACTGGTAACTAAGAAGCTATTTACCGGTACCATATCTGCGACAAAGAACTATTCATCGGTACCATATCGGTAACTTAGAAGCTGTTCACCGGTACCCGACCGATGACAAGCTATTCGCCAGTACCCGGCCAGAAAGAATAAGAAGATAAGTAAATTCATGCTTCGTTTATTTTAAATAATTAAATTTAGTATGGAGACATGAAATTTTATATGCGCCCCGCGGAGTTATGATTTATTTCGAAAGTGTACACGTTTGTTTGATTTTATTCAATACTTGCATTAAATCTTCAATTTACGTCCCCTAACTACGATAAGTTTTCGAGTGTGTTTCTCCCTAAATATAAGACGAGGGCCATGAGTGCAACGTAATGGGGCGTCTTTCCAGATAGAACAGTTCCCGTAAATCCCTGAACCTCGAACGCAGTATCGTAAAGCCCACGTAAACGAATACTAAATCGTGCTAAATTACAATCGTCGTAGGTAGTAGCAGTGGTGTACGTGCAGGAACTGCACCCCCATTATTCGGGATTCAGGACGTCATTTCTGGGTAGAGCTCCGTAGGCCGAAGCTTAAAACTTTAACAGATTGTTCCTCTTAATAAAACGTGCAGTCCATGTCGTCCCTTTTACGCCTCCGGTCTTTTATCCGCAGGATGTTTCCCGGTATTCCTCGCGGGATATATTTTTCAACACTTTCGGTGATTTACATTCGCATATGAGCGAGATAATGCACTGGTTGTGGCAACGTCTGCCGGGGGGTGGAAATGTGCAACTTAAACGGGGGGATTTCCCGGGACTTCCCTCCTAACAACTTACGGCTTTAAATCTCCTCTCTGCATGCTGCATTTGGACGCGCAATGCATCTCCAACTTTCCACGTACCACCAAAGTTTCCCGTACAATGTTTCAAGAACTGATCTCCTTAGGGAGTTTTCTAAGCTAATAATGGCTGATGTTAGGTGTACCCGAATGGGTTTATAGTTTGTATGAAAATTAATTAATTATTTACAGAAAATTCTGTATCTTTTTGAATTACTAATTGATAATTCAAAAAGATAGATGGGAATAAACCACAAAGGCAGCGGACAACGTAGTTTGTTGTTTAATAAGAGATGACGCTAGATGCACTTAGACGGTTTTATTAATTTGTGTGATGATTAGAGGCTCAAATAGAATGCAGAAGATACTCTAATTAAATATGTTGATTATTATAATACTGTTTTAACATTAGTTAGAGATGGAGAAGGGCTGCCAGCAAGACAGGGGTTCTTTCTCGTTCTTCGCATAATAATACAGTAGCGAGCACGAGTGTGTTTGTGTGCGATCGGGCACACGTGTGCGTGAATGGCTAATCGATTCGCCGACTAGCCGCGGGCGTCTTTCTTCATGTGCGCCGTATTTATAAATGTGTGTGTCGTACCTTCGTTCTGGGAAAGCAGTTAAACAGTTCAAAGAAAAATAAACTAACCGGATGTTTCCAGAAGGTTCCATAAAGTAAACAAAAGAGTGTTTAAAGGAACAGACGATCGCCGAGAGGATAAGAAATAAATTGACCGTTGCAGAAGTGAATCCAGAAATAAATTGACAGAGATAGCAGTGAATAGTGATACATCAACAGTAGTGTAAATAAATAGAGTAATTCATAACCTATGTTTAGTAATAATTTAATTGTGTTTTTAAGTTTTTTAATAATTAGTGTAAATAAATAGTTTTTATCGTTATCAGTCTTACCCAGGTAGAAAGTGATCAATGAAATTAGCTTGCATTAAGGTAATTTTGTAAATGTTAGCTTCAAACTAGCCAACTAACTAAGGATGGTACAAGGTTAGTTGGTAACGCTTTAGAAGGCTAACAGTAAGCTTACGATTTTAGCTTGCATAAACAATGACAATTTAGGTAACTACAAGTTAAAAAATAAATTTTATTTTAAGAATGTACAGATTAGGTATGTTGAGTAAGAAAAGCGTTCGTAGAAAAAAGAATTTATTTAATATTTTAATAAGGTATTTTTGGCTACAGCAGTTTGCAAATTTGTTTTACACTTTTCGGTTCTACAAGTTTAGAAATTATTTTCTTCTTTCTTTCCATTTAATGCTCTAATCAATTCCTTTCTTTGATTTTCTTCTAGTTTCTGCTTTTTTGTTTTTATCGTTACGTTACCCACGATAATGGCACTGAATCGATGAATTTTTTAATTTCTTACCGCGGAGGGTTATGAATTCAATCAATAAATAATCATAAATTGCATCTTCTTGTTCATAACCTAAATATGTTGATGTCTCGTCGGTCGTTTTTACAACGATTTTAATGTACACTATCTTAACTGATGTAAATAATCGATGTTATATAGAAGATACACTCAATATTTCATATACTTTTTCAATATTATTTTAATTGCTACATTTAAAGCCTCAAATGTTAAAAATTTAACCACAACGTCCAAGAAAGTAATAAAGGTACAACATCCAGTTGAATGATCGCTGTGTTGTGCTGAGCAAGCAGATGGCGGCTGTTATTAAAATTAATCGGTAGTATATAAAACAAAATAAACTTAATATGCATTTATTACTATG